GATCGGAATTTTTAAAAGAACTGCTTAATTATCTATCGTTTTAGTTTCCTCTATAGTGGTACCCTTGAAAAAAAATAAAACAGCATTTGACACGGAAGTCTCTCAAATTTGCGGCCAAAGATGCGGTGCTGGCGGTGGTGTGCATTAAACCAAGGGTGAAGGAACGTTGGTTTCTTAATAAAACAGCATTTAACGGAGTTGGAGGAAACCTTTAAACATCAACCAAAAAGTTTACCAAACTCATTAAATACCCAATTATTTGTTCAGTCTTTGTTCAGTCACCCACGTACAGTAAGTCAAAATTGCACGTCAAATATCCCTAATAGACAATTATCTGACCATCTCCTCATGATCTTTGAGAAATGAAGTGGATAAAATAAACATCAATAAAAGCGAACTGTTTATAACTGCGAGTCATGAGATCTGCTTGCTCGGCTAAAAATTTGGGCAAGCTTCATGCAAAATTGTTCATGTCAATGTGTATGGATATAAATACATGAAATTCGGCGTACGCTCAGCAAATACCAATATTATTACTAGTATAAATTTGCCGTAGGTATATGTATATTCCAATAGACATTCGTTGCTCACAAAATGTATGCAGTCTGGCAAAACTTCGTTAAGGGACATCCTGAAACTTTTTTTTTGCCTTCTTCATCATCACGCGGTTTTTTTTTTTTCAATTGAAGTTGTCTTGTTCAAAAAAACTTGACATCTACCAATTTAATTAATTTAATCAATTTTTCTTTTTGCAGAGATTTGGTGAATGATTCCACTCTGAGTGTCTTCGAATTCTAGCAATGAGGTTAGTTGCTTTCTGTTTTATATCGTTATCGTTGAGATTTGCTATAGAAGGATATTCCAAATATTCTCAAAACTGTGGAAGTCTAGCTTTTTGCACAATCTGAATAGGTTTATTCGAGATTTTCCAGCGGTATATTTTTGTGAAATCAGAATGTTTTTTTCCTAGAGCTAGAATTGTTTAACTCGATTCTTTAATTCAAACATCAAAAGGTTAAAATAAAAATCCAATTTTTGAAAATGCTCGAATAATTTGATATAACAATTTTTTTAATATTGATAAATATATATTGAATCTTAAAACCTCTTTTAAATTTTTTGTATTTATTATCGGAATATTATAAAAAATAAAACAGCGAGAACGCAAATTTTGCAGCAAGTCTTTGAAATGAAAGTGGACGAAATTTTAATTAGTTTGCAAAAATTCCAGTCGAACATTTTTTTTTAGTAGATCGCGTAATCCGGTATTAACACTTCATTCGTAGCTGATCACTTCAAAATGCCAAAAACCTTCATCAGTTTTTTTTTTCGTCTGAGGTTCATAATATTCCATTCTACCAAAAACCTTTAATGGCGAACTTTCACGGCGGTCTATTATGCTTATGAAGGCAGGGCGGAATATTAAATATATTAACTCTTCCGAGAGCAAAAAAACGCCGAAAAAGATTTAAATATGACGTTTTTTTGAATTCTCAGACTTGACAAAATCCAATTCGAAATAAGCCCGGTTTTTGAGAATAAACATTTTTTGCTTAAAAAAAATTCAATTCGTCATTACCTTATTGTAAGGCCTCGTTTTTTTATTTGACGTGTTCAATTATCAATCTAGTATTCAAAAATTACAATTATCCAGTCTGCCTTTTTTGGAAACGTGAACCATTTGAACTTTACGGTCAAAATATATAACATTATTAACTGATAGATATCAATATATAGATATAAAATAGATAAATATTGTTTTGCCTTATTTAGCTTGATTAAACATGACCTAATCGCTGAAGTCGTACCCAAATACAAGAGATATTCGTCACTGTTTTAATTTTTTTTTAAAGAATTACACACGATATCCATCACAGTTTGATGTTTAAAAAGTTGTCAATGTTGCGCTGGGCAACATCATTTAACCAAATTGTAGGCTGGATGGTTTGGCAACCATCAAAAGCAAATGCCCATATAGTTTTTCTAAATATTTTTATGTTGAAAATTCAATGATGCATTTCTTTTCTGAGCTTCTTTCATATTCAAAGTTTTTGCACAGCACAGTAATATTTTTGTGATTTTTTTTTCATTTTTGTATTTTTATTCACATGTTAGTAATTAATGCGAAATAAGTTGCACAGGATATGAAAGTTGATCAAATTTAATTTTAAGAATTCTGAACACCAAATATCGCTTTGCAATTATCCAAAATTTCATGAATTCTTTATTAATTTCAAATAGGAATAAAATGAAAATACACGATTTCATGAAAATGTCAGCACTTCAGAAACCGATGATTTTAAAGTTTTTCAAAAATTTGTTAACCGTTAAATTGAACCTTTTTTTTACTTGTCAAAAGTTTCGTTAAATAGATATACATATATACACATATGTCAAGTGAATTTTTCAATTATCATTCAGATATTGTTTCCAGTTTTTTTTGAAAATATCGATAAAACTCGCTATTACGGTCTTCGATTAAAAGCTGACGTTATCGCAAAAAAGGCAGTTATCCCTGTTGTGCAGGGATGTCGGTAAATATCCTAATTATCTCAATGCTTTGCAGCTTCGGCAAGCGAACATCATGTAGGGATTGAGTGACCTTTATAACAGTCCTTCCTTATTCCCCGCACAAACACAAAGTAAAAATAGCTTCACGTTTTTTTATAAAAAAGAAATTGAAGACATGCAGTACCATTTACGGTGCTAATTATACAAGCAATACAATCGCGTACATTTTAAAAATGCGCCATTTTTTTTATTGTGATTTAATGGAGAAGACCGTTTGAAAACATCAAGTTAATACAAAAATATTGTTGCGAGATTAACGAAAAACAATAAGGCTGTTCACATAATTTTATTGCGTCACACTGAAATATTCATTCCCACTGCATTTACATATGTGTCTTAAAATTGAGCTCGACTTACGCGATTAGTTTCTTGGGCGTTCCGTCTTGTAGCTCATGAATAATTTGCATTGATCCTCTATGTGAGATGTGCTTTTCAAGTGCACCGTTTCCTAAGTTGTCTGTTGAAATATGCATTAAGAAAGCACAAAAAATGTACTAGGCAACTAGTGTTCCCTCATTTTTTAAAAACAACAATTATGTGAATTTTAATGCTGAGAATAGCTAGCCCATCGAAATATCAAAACCAACTGATTTGATTCAAGTTTGGCAATCTTAAGACCAACTTTCCTTGTTCATTTATTTCTCTACATTTCCATTTCAAATAATCCAAATTAATGTCATGCTGTTCAATGAAAGAATAGGATTAAAATTAAATTTTTCTTTTCAATCCTCAAAATTAAATATGATTGAGCGCCATTTATTGGGGCAATGAAGTTTACATCAGAATTCTCAATCAAATCGAAAAATAGTTTTGAATTTTTTTGAGAAACGTTTTTGTTTTGTTATTTCCTGACTACAAATAGAGCGATTGTAGACTCTTCATTTACATTGAGACATTCGCCAGCTAGAATTGATTATCGGTCTCCAATAACTTTAAAGATAACTTTAAACTATTTATCATTGAAAAAATTAAATTTCCTTATAACGAAATTTTCAATGAAAAAATGAATTTCAGTAATTAATAAGCATGCAATGGATTTTACTTATCATCCATTGTGATGTGATGCAGAAGTGAATGTGCGCAATAACTTCTTTACGATTTTTCATAGTTGTAGCTCTTTTGTTCACATCTAAGCTCAAACTTCTACCATATCGCGAATAACGTTCGACAACTAAAACGTATTTTCCCACCTTTTCAAATTATCAAGATTGCTGGTTCTCTAATACCTCCATCAAACGTCTCACCAAATTTTCACTCATAGAATTCACAGATTTCTGATCAATTTGTTCACAATCGGGACGATTAAGAGTCATTATGATTTTACTAATGGATTGTTTTAAACACAATGCCTTCATTTTAATAAAATTATAACAACCACTCGCTTGGAGAAAAGATACCAAAGCTAATTCGAAACTTGTGACGGGCAGTAGAATCTCTATCATACAGTTTTGTGCACAGCAAAAAACCAAATACGGAACACCATAATTGAGCCTAATAAGATTTTTTGAGAGTAGAAGACCGGCGTCCTTGTAGACCAACCAAATCGCACTTGCATATTAAGTGAAAAGGAGCAGATGGATTCACGATTTCTCGTACTCTTTATGGACGTTTTCACTTTATTCAGAAGCCGGCAAAAAACAGGCAAATGGTTTATCCATGATATTGAAAAAAGTTTAATATCATGATTGGTCTCAGCTTTAGTTGTTAATCAGTTAAATATAATTTTTCGTAGTATCCATTTTTTTCCTTTTTGCGCTATTATAATATTGTAATGTTGGTTGAACAAGAAAAATTCGTGGTCAAGAAGTCTAACTTGACTAAATTTCCATGTCTTTGAACATTTAATCATGTTAAAAATTTTAACATGATTTATATGGTTAGTTTGTTTCTGTCTAACTTATTAACTTCTTTTTCTCCGATATTATAATTTATTAACACCGAATGAACACGTTTTCGTTGAGTTAATTTTTAAAAAAATTTTGTAGATGATTCAGTCAAGTTGTTTAAAATGTCGCTCATTAGTAAAACACATGCTTTTATTGTAAATCATCAAAGTCACGCTACCAAATCAACGCATATTTCGCGGCCAATTATTTATCTTCTTTCGGCCGATCTTGCCTTATTAGCTATTGAATAACACCCACATGAGGATGACGATTTGTCGTTACTCTGAACTTTCGGATTTCATCTTCGAATCATCGTTTTGAATTTACGCCATTTGAAATGTTTTGTTTGTTTTTCTTCGTTGTCTTTCATCAACGCCACACATAAGAAAAAGAAATTAAAGAATTGATGAAATCAACTTTTGACGCCTCTTCATTTACTCATTTAGCCTCATGTGATGTGGCCCACCAATAAAATGTTCGGGTGCGCCTCATTGAACCACTAAATCCAAACGAGATGAATATATATTTATTTGTGTTATAGTAATGGATTCTTTCAGCGGCTTATCGGAAGATAATCCGCCGGGAATGGCGCATGTGGACTACATTGCCCATGTGATCGTCATGCCGATCGTTCTATCTGTTGGTAAGACCAATTTAAACCATTTTTAAACATTTGATGTATACATGTTCAGGAATGATGAATCAATGCCTCAATGTGTGCACTCTGCTACACCTTCCCGCAGGATGCTTCATGTATCTCAAAGCCTCAGCTATCGCCGATATTCTTAGCATCATTTCTTTTGTGCCATTCCTTGTGCGCAATGCAGAATTACATGATCAAACATGGTATTTTGGAATGATGTATCATGCTCACATCGAGCTTCCTCTCATCAACGCTCTAATAGCAGCAAGGTAATTAATCATAAAATTGCACAAAAATTAAGTTCAACTCGAATCGCCTATAATTTTTATAATTTTTTCAGTGCTATGAATATAGTGGCAATGACTGTCGACAGATACTTATCGGTTTGCCACCCGATCAAGTTTTTCCATACAAATGAATCGAAATTTCGGTCAATTATGATAATCCTCTCCCTTTATTTGACGTCAATCTTGATTTATGTTCCGTCGATTTGGCAAAAGAAAGTTGTACCGCAATATTCAAAGGAACTTGAACGGTATATACACATATAAAGCAGTGAAAAGCAGATTCAGCAATTTTCCAGAAATATTTGGGTAATTGAGCGAAACAACGAGTACGAGGAAATGCATTATTTCAAAGTCTATCTGTTTATTAGAGAAGTTTTCTAGCGATTGAAATCATTTCCAAAAATTAACATTTCTCAGGCGGTTTGCCGTTGGGGTCCCGTAATTGTGTTGGTTGTTTTGAATACAGCAATGATACGGAAACTGCGGAAATTGGAGGAGAGACAATCAAAATGGGGACGATCGTCTCGAATTGGACGTGGGGGTCGAATGTCAGGGTATGCCCGAAAAATGAGGTGGTATCAATAGAAATTGAGCAATTTTAGGAGATCGAACAGAAGCGCGAGCACCGATCGAGGACGTATTTCAACTCTTCTTCTTGTCACTTCAACAACGTTTGTCATTTGTAACCTTCCCGCCTCGTTCCTTTCAATTTTTATTCGGTATGTCGCATTATATTTATTTTTTCTTGAAAAGCAACATTTTTTAGAAGTTTGGTTGATAATTCACTCTTTTGGCAAATTTTCCGCTCAATTGCTAATCTTCTTCAAGTTACCAGCTATCTTTACAATTTTTATTTATATGCATTATGCTCGTCCGAGTACAGAGAAGCGTTATTCCGCCTACTCGGTTGCAAGAAAACTACATCGCCGATATCGACTGGCGATTCTCCAACAGTGCGACTCTCAGGAAACATTCGTCGAGGGTTGGTTGTGAAACAAGAAACGATCGTTAAGTTTTGAAATATTTTAGAACAGTTGTTGACTTTGAAAATCGTCACGCAAAAACAGTGCCAATGGCTGAAGTCTAATTTGTCGTTTTCTAATTTATTTTATTGGTAAGTGTTTGCAAATGTTCCCAATTATATTTTTTATTGTTTCTTTCTCAATTTTTTTTCTTGATTTTCATCCTCTAACCAACCTTTACTATTGGAATAACCTCAGCTTCGTTTGTATGTTCTCTCATATTTACGTGTAAATTATGTGATTCAAACTAGGCGACCCTTGTATCTTCTTCTAGTTTTTATTTTAAGAACGTGTAGACGATATGAAACATCTAACACACCCATATCATTTTGGATTTCACTATTCTTTTTTGAATCTACTAATAATTTCCATGGTATCTCAATTATTGAACTCGAGTATGCCGATTGCATAATTATTTAATTACGCGATTTTTTTCTCAATTTATATTCCCGCTTATGCAGGTGTTTCTAACTATTCCGTTTTAAGATATCGATGATCTTACAATTATATTATTAATAAAAGTGTTGCCATCTCGAAGAAAAAGTGTTAACTCAAAAAAAAAAATACAATGTTAGACATAAAGTGAAATATATGTACCCTCAGACATTCTTTTTTTTATAAATCACGAACATTGTATAGATACAAAATGAAAAAGTGAAAAATTTGGCAGGAAACACACATCATGAAAAAACGACATTTATCATTAAAAATAACAATACCGCGAATACAAAATTAGAAAGGATAAGGTTGTATAACTAAATGCGTCAAGGAAAATGAATATCGCCCTTTTTTTTTTAATTTTATATAGATATTTGGTTCTTCAAACAAGAACAAAAACAAAAACGGCCTATGATTTAAAGTATTATGGTAATTATCCAAATATAGGCAAAAAATGTTCATCATTTACAATGTCGTCTATAGTTCCCGTATTGCCTCGACGAGCGGAAACACAAAACGTTTTCTGAAAACATCAAATTATGAAAAGCAATAGTTTTGTCTCACAGAAAAACAATATCAAAGTTTTCACGAACCTCGTTGAAATGACCAACACCGCATTTTGCGCATATCGATAATTTTTCTCTGAACCTCCGAGTTTGCATTTTTCCATAATCGAAATTATTTTGCAATATTAAAGCAACAGAGCAAGTCTCTGAGATATGTTCAAGTATTGGAGATCTTTCAAGAGTCTCCTCTATTGCAATATGACTTGAATAGACCAAAAGTTTTCTAAAAATAACATATGATATCTTCATAAAGATTTATTGCGCATAACGTTTGACCAGCAGCATGAAATGTAGCAGAAACAAACATCTATACGCCATTTTCGAAATGTTCAGTTAGAATTTGCATTTCGATTTGTAGGGTGGATTGTTTTCGTTTTTTGGTACAACTCTGCTATAAATAAATTTTTTTGTTTTATAACTTCAAATAATCAGATTTCATGCCCCGTCTTAAAAAAAAAAACGATATTATGCAAAGTCTGCTTCTAAATTAACAGCGATTACCAGAATTCGGCGTCACGAACGCCACAGCACCATGTTACCATATTAATTGTTATTCAAATATTAAAAACAAATTCGTTTAAAACTAAACCATAAATTCCAGGGGATGTTTTCAATAGTTTTTTGTCTTCTAATTTTTGGACAATCGAAAACGAGGATTATCAATTTGATCAGTAAATTGTTCGGTTTCAAGTAAAAAATAAGACCATATATATTTGTTTCGTTAATGCACCTTAATGTTCTTCCTCTTCTTGTAGATTTCTCTTTGACAACTTCAATTTGAAAAGGTTGTAAAATCATCCATTAATGATATTTGTCGAAATTACATCAATTGCCTGCTTGGCGATATATTCAAACTCCGTCAAATATTCCATTTTTTCTGAAATTGAAAGAGAAAATTTTTTATAATTAATATTGTAGTTTTATATAATATTTTTTATCTCTCATAAAGTGTTGTGTGAAGATTTTAATTAACTAATTTCATAAGATTCTTGTTACAACTTTTACGTAATTGATTTGTGCAAAAATCTAAACAAGAAGAGTCCATGGTCGATGGCAAGATAGCTGCGAAATAGCGTAGCGAACACGGAGGCTAATGTCAGCAATGTTGGTATACCCCCATAGTTTGATGTGCAGGGTGGAAACACATCTGAACAACTGTTACCGTAGTTCCATCATTATGCTGAGACATTTGTGGCGGATTTTTCTGTTCTTTCTTTTTTTCTTCGAATTTTAATTCCCCAATATGTTAATTAATTTGTTTATTAGCTTTTAACATTTTAAAAGTAAATGATATTTAGTTTTCAATAATTTTTTATTCGTTTTTTGAAACATTATAAAGTTTTTCGAAAGATAACTGAAAAAACAGTTCTCGCACCCTTTTATTATTCTCGAAATGTTTGAATTACCTATAAACTGTTAAATTTAGTTTCAGACATGGGTGAAATAGAGAAGCAGGTGGAAATCAAGGAAAAGAAGATGCGCAATGTTATGCGCGATCTTAAGATCCAGAAGCTTTGCCTCAACATCTGCGTCGGAGAATCTGGAGATAGATTGACTCGTGCTGCTAAGGTATATTTCGAATTAATTTCAAATATGTCGTGTGCATGAAATTGTTTAGGTTTTGGAGCAGCTCACCGGCCAAACTCCGGTTTTCTCGAAGGCCCGTTACACCGTCCGTACCTTCGGAATCCGCAGAAACGAGAAGATCGCCGTTCACTGCACTGTTCGTGGACCAAAGGCCGAAGAGATCCTCGAGAAGGGTCTTAAGGTCAAGGAATACGAATTGTACAAAGAAAATTTCTCCGACTCGGGAAATTTTGGATTCGGAATCCAAGTTTGTTTAATTAAATTTGTAAATAAATTCAAAAAATTATTATAATTGCAGGAGCACATCGACTTGGGAATCAAGTACGATCCATCAATTGGAATTTACGGAATGGACTTTTACGTTGTCCTCGATCGCAGCGGTAGACGTGTCGCAAAAAGAAGACGAGCTCCAGGACGTGTCGGACCATCGCACAGAGTTGGACGTGAAGAGTCCGTCAAATGGTTCCAGCAGAAGGTATATTTTATAAATTTTTATTCAAAACGTCTACTAAAATTTGTTTCAGTACGACGGAATCATTCTTCCACCAAAGCCAAAGGTCAAGCGCACCTTCCACCGTCGCCGTTAATTGTTTGGTTGTTCATAAATAAATTGTTGTTTTTAGAGGAATGTATCCGTCGACAGAAAGTTTAGATATAAGGTTTACAAATCGTTGGGAGTAAACAAGGCGCTTACAATGTTGCAGGCTTGAAGAATACAAAAATAAAAGAAACAAGAAGATCATTTCACTTTATTTCAAAATACCTCAAGTCAAAGTAATGTTATTTTTTGAAGAAATCATCAAAACTCTGTGTGCCATTGAAACTGCCTATATGGCATTACATATGGGCCTAATAATAGTATCAAATTAGATAAAATTTTCAATTTTGGCATTGATGTGAAAAAAAATTCAAATGAATACAGTTTTTTCTGTGATATTTGCTTAGCGAAGTTTTCACGCGCAACCATTTCTTTTAATTTTTTTCTGACTTTTTAAACCTCGAATGTTGAGATCTAAGATTACAAATGAATTATATTTGTGAATTAATACGTCAATTCATTTGCTTTCTAATTTTACGGAAATTTTCAAATTTGTGTGGAATCTTTGAAAAATAACAGGGACGTTTAAAACACAAAACACTAGATTGCTTTTTTTGTATGTATGTATCAATTCTCAATTATCCACTAAAACATTCCGCTCTTTCAATGCGATCTAGTTTAATAATCATTAAATTTATGCGTATTAATATGATTCAGGTTTTGAATTATGATGATTGTAAGTGCATATTGGGAGTGATGAACTATTAGTGTCAAAGAGAATTAAAAATAGAGCAAAATGGTATTTGGCGTTTTATTCATCAAAATCTTATCACTTTTTCAATATTGCGTTTGTTAGTATAAACATGTACATGTAAATATGCATTTATTCACAAAAATTGAGAATATATGTGTACGATCGAGTAAGAACTATTCATTTGTATCGAATATCGGGCTAACCAAAATCACAATGTTTGAAGCTAAAATTGGGTAGTACGCAGCTGACTAAACGTAACTTAAGAACAAATCATTTACATCGGCTCTAAGTGAAGTTAACACACATATATTGGTGCATTTATTTTTTATACAAATTGAAAATAATAAGAAAATAAAGGGTTGGAATGTTTAATAGTGGACTGTTACTGAAGTGAATGACTCGTTTGCTTTTCGCTTTACTTGACAGCTACGGTTTCCCCTTGTGGCTCAGTGTCAAGTTGTTTTCCGAGGTATTCCCAGTTATGGACCATCAGCTTTTGAACCGCGAGGAGAGCATGATAGCGAACATTCGGATCTTCAGCGGTCAACAATCTCATAACAGCTTGCTTTCCCTGATATTGTTCAACGACACTAAACCAATTTTTTAATGTTTTAATTCTTTTTCACATTTCCTTACGTTTTTCCTCTTGGGTAATGTCTGACGTATTCTCCGATATCATGGGCTGCAACGCACAGAATCAACGGGTCCTGGCTAGTTTCCAAAAGCTTGATAAGAATCCTGAATGGGAGTTTTGATTTATGCATTTTGTATGCAAACTCGACATACTTGACAACTTCAAATTGTTTGTCGTTGAATCTTGGAGCATTTTCACGCCAGAACTTATCCGATTTGTGCACAGGCGACCATTGAAGGCGTCCGGATCTAACTTCGGCATAATATTCGTCATATGAGCTCAAATCGTGAACCGACGACATCAATTCTTCATTCAAGAATTTCACATCTTCCTCAAGATCTGGATCGTCATATTTTTTAGCATCCATCAATTCGAGAGTTTTCAATGTCTTGCACTGAACCATCTGAAGAGCAGCTTCTCTCTTGATCTCACGCTCTTCAACCTTGGTCAAAATGTTGACAAAGGTGGCGAGAATGATCCGAATGACTTTTTCCTTGGTCGACTCGGCGAGAATATCTCCAAGAGCTTGAATGACACCGAGTGTTGGCGTTTTTCTAGCGATCTCGGCATTGAATGTAAGACACCAAACAGCAAAAATCAATTGGTATTGAAGCTGGAAGTTGGTTTTTCCGTTGAGAGCAGAAACCAAAGCTTGAACTCCATCGGATTCGACAAACACATGTCTGAAAGAAATCTGATAAATAATATCTAGATACTTATGCAAACCTGTATTCGTCAATGCGGAGCATCATTTGCAAACAGCGAGCAGTGGTGTTCATGTAATCGTTGGTCTGCAAATTATTTGAATTAATTCACGAGAATTCCAATGGTTTTTCTTACAGACGAATTCTTGAGCTGATCTTTAAGGAACGAGAAATAATAATTCAGTTCTTGTCCTTCCATTCTAGCGGATCCAAAGCAAGCGAGTTTTGCAATGATGGAGCTCATCTGGGAAAAAAAGATACGAAATTTTTACACACAAATGCATTGTCGATACTTGATTAACAATGAAGTTGTCTTGGCGTTGGAGAATTCCAATGAATTGCGACCAAACGGTCCTCTTTTGACGTTGAGCAGCAGCGTGAAAGATCTCAACGCGAGATTTTTCCTCCTACAATGAATACAATTTTAAAAACATAATATTTCCTAGCTTTGGAATACCTGGAGCATATCGTCGAAGAGAGTTAGAACGTAGCGCACGTTCTGGTCTTTTGCAACTTGGGTGATCAAGTTGACGATTGTTTTAGCGGCTTGTCCGTTCGCGTCATTCGCGGCCAAAACTTGATCGCGTTCTTCCTTGGTCTAAAATTGTCGAGTAAAATTGATAGGGAAATATTTTGCAAACCTTGGCTCCTTCATAAGCGGTGATGAAGTTATAGTCTTCTTGTGGTATCATTTGTGATCGGAAATACGATCCCCAACTTGGCTTGTTGGCACGAACCTTAAATTATTGTTCAGGTTATATGAAAAGCTTTAAATTCACAAACTTCAGCAGCTTCCAATTGAAGACGCGAGGTCGCATTGATCATATCAACAGCCGGGATGCTATGCGGTAATTCGGCCATCGCTGAAAAAAAAAACCAATAAATATATTTATACGGCTTTTTTGTACAGATGCAAGAAAAAAAAATGAAACATATACGTGACAAATCATCATATAAAATCATATTTCAAAATGTTGAATGAAGAGTTGAAATTCAGCAGCGCTATAAAGCAAAATTCCACCAAACTTTGATTTTTGAGTTGGTACGAATTACGAGCAAGAGACCATGGCGAGAGAACAACAATCAAGGAAAGGCCGACAAACGCGGCGAGACCCGAGCGCAGGCAGTGATGGCAGGGGCAAGCGGCGATTCAAATATGCTGTCTGCGTGCCTCGCGCTCTCCAATCGCAGAACATTCTTTTCTGTACAAGCAGATTCTGTTTCTGTCGATGAACATAGAACTTGTAAAAATAGTATTGAGCGACCGCAATACTAATCCGATCTTATCAACCATTGGTTCTGAATATAGTTCGATCATTTCTTAATACGTGTTTATGAGCAAATTATTATTTATGGTGAACAATGTAGTTGCGAAGATGGTATAATCAGCAATTAAAATTGCATGTGACATCCGTGACAATTAGAACAGAGAAATCCATGGTTTTGCCTCACTGAGGGATTTCAATTTTCCGAATAAAACCGATCCGCCTTTAATGTCGAGAATCGCAATGGCTCCTTGTGCGGTCAGATAAAACGCGCTCATTGTAGGATACGGGTGCGACGACGAAATGCGCTGAACGAAACCAAGCTTCTCATTGTATAGCTGAAAATGAAATCATTCAGTTCGGTCGTGCAATCATTTCGCTGTTGATTCGAGAGTTTCCACTACCTTAAATTAGTAATTAAAAACTAAGCATGTGAGTTAAATGCGCAAAAGCTTTTTGAGTTCAATTTTTCTTTTTATTTTGAGATTTTTGTTGAAAAATATTTCAAAAAAAAAACTTTCAATGGATTTTTAATCCTTATTCTGTATTAAAACAATATATTTCTCAGCTGAGATTTGTAGAATAAAATAAATTGCAATACTTTGTTGGCGCTTTCCAACTTCAAATATTACATGATGTGATGTTTTGGCCTGGAAATGTCATTAAGACAAGATATTTCTAGTCAAGTGGAATAATGTTTTATGATATATTTCCTTTTTACCTTAATGGAATATGCCGTTTCATCCGCCACCAAAACTTGGCCATCCTGATCAATTTGAACGCCAACAGGAAATTGGCAAAAATTATATTCGGGCAGTGGACGAGCTTCGTTCATTGAAAAGTTGTCCTAAAATTGAAATAGGAAAACATAATAAACGGTTATGAAAATTTTACAGCTTTAAGCAATTGCAGTAGTTGAATAGTTGGATATTTGTCGTCCGTCTCATCAATCAAAAGGAGCAACACTTTTCCTGTGATGCAATCCGTGATCGCAACCTTTTTCTTTGCATAGCTGATATAACTCGGACGAACAGTATCATTAAGTGGAAACGAAGCCTGCACCTTTTTAGCGTTATTAAGCCATCTAAGGCGCGGTGTCGCGTTCGATGGAAAGTCAATGGTAAGAATATTTTTCGCTGAAGTCGTGGTAATTGCTAAAAATTTGAAGTTTAATTATAAATGTCAGAAATGTGTCTAACCTCGGCACGGATTTTCCAATTTAGCCCAAGCATGATCAGACGTTACGAATTTCTGCGTCTTTTTAGGATGATCATCCTTATATTTCACGATGTACGACTTATTTTTCTCTTTTTCGTGACACAATACAAGCAAGACATCTCTCTGAAACATGAAGTAAACAAAAGGTTTAATTTTTTAAAAATCTGTAAAAAGCTTTTACCTCAAGAACTGTCACCGCCGTTGGACATTTAATCGCGGTGTTCATTGTGAGATTTTTTTTATAGTTATTCGATGCATCAAACGAAACAATCTTTAAAAGGTAGACATATTAATTTTAGGCAATGAGAAGGTACAAACCATATTATTTTCACAGCAAATCCACCATTTCTGAGATGCGTGATCAAATGTAATTCCAAGTGGTCGGTCATCCTTGTCGCTCAATCCGTTTGTAATATTTTCCGATCTTTTGAAATCCAAGTACAAAACTTTAAAAATTCACATGTAGAAAATTATACTTTTCTTTCTACTTACAGTTTTTCTTCTTTTCGATCGAGCCTCCGACGTCGCTATGAGTGTTCTGAAAATTTGAGTTTAAAAAACAATAATTACATAACAGTCTACATTTTATTTAACATTTTATGTAGGAATTGATGTTTTTAGCGCCACGTGTGAAAGCTTATTTTGATATTTTCAAAAACTGTTTTAATTTTTCTTTGTCAATTTGTAAATTATCTGCAATTCCACGCAGATACGAGAAAAAACGCAAAAAAACTCTGTCCCATACGTTAGTCGCCAAACGCCAGCTAACTTTAAAAAGTGTCAGGGACTAACCCCCCAGCCGGAATAGTGTCAACATTAATTATATCCTATAAATTTTTTAGTGTGTTTACACGTTGTAATGATATTTTCAGTCAAGCCAACTCTTATAAGCAACTATCTCCCCACCCCATAATTCTACATTCCAAGCAATTGTTATTTTGATAAACAGAAAAAAAAACTTCAAAAATTGTTTGATACTCAAAAAAACTGTGAAAGTCATTCAGCTAAATTTTTTTTATCAATATCGAATGGCGAGTCAAAAGTTTGATGAGTCACTTGAATTTCGCAATTAGATTTCAAGGAAAAATTCTACAAAACAATTCTCTTACCTGCTTCTGATCTAACTTTGTGTCCGTTTGATTTTTTGGGGGGAACGCAGAGTAACTTGTACCTTCACATTCACACACAAAATCCTCGCCATCATTCAAACGATCGCCAACAAGATAAAGCTGCAAATCTGAATGTGTGAAACTGTCTAGTTAAAATCGCGGTACCGCTTTCCTCAAAATCGCCTTTTCATCCGAAAAAAGCAATCGATCATTTCCTTTCAGCACGTACTGAAAAAGATGAATCGCGTGCTCGGCATCTTTTCGTTGCATTGTGAGTAGAAGCGCTATTCCACCTTGAAAACAAAGAATAAACAATTGTCAACTAACGGTTTCGGCGAGACTCGCTACAAAATCAAAATATAAGTGATGAAAATATTGGAGGAAACAGAACGATGAGGAATAAGATGAGAAGACAACAACGCAGTTGCTTGTGTTCGTTTTTTGTCGATCCGGCAATTACGATCATTTCAAATTAAATCATATGATGACTAATTAATTAATTTGAATGCATTTCAAAAAAATAATAATATTCTAGTATCTCTAGATGTATTTTCCAAGTAACGCAGTTTAAATAGAAATGGAGAGTGCGCTCCCGACAAACCTTGTCGTCTGCGCACACAGACAATTGTCTTTACATGTGCAGCTTTCACAATAATTTACAGATGGTAATAACAATAGAACATCAGCGAAATTCAAAGTTAAGCATCTTCGAATTAAAAGAACATGTGCATGTCATATGTCAAACCGGCTGTTTTGATTATTTCATTTTGTTTTGTTACAAAAATGTTTACGTGCCCGCAAATGTTTAAACGAAATGGAATCCTTTTTTCCAGGATTTCCGTTGATGAGTAACAATTATTGCGCGAAATGTCCTGTTTCTTTTTAATCAAATTCAAAAAAGCCATCAATAAGGGTTTTGTTTAAAAGAAATCTTATATTGAAATTACTTTTCTTTACTTTTTTCTATAAATATTACAGAATATATCGCTAGACAAATGTAAAACAAAACCTAACAAGTACGTTTAATCTATAACTATTGGCTTTATAAGGGGGTATTCTTCGGTACCAAGGTCAACATTCTTTGTATCGTCATTTCATATCTGACATTGATGGCTGCACTTTTAGCGGATGAGAAATGTGCAACAGCATAAAAAAAAAATAAAACAAGAGTAAACGTAGAAAAAAATTAAATCATAAAAAATCAATATTTTTATTTCTGTATTGCCACACAAAGAAAGCAAAATGCGACGAATACGCCATATTTTCTGTGTTTTAATGGCCCTTAAATAATTTTTATTATCGATATTCGAAGCATTTTTTTTACATTTTTTCTGCATTCTTTTCTCCGTGATGCTTGTATAAAATTTCAACGCCCGCTTTGTAGCATGTTTCTCAATAAAAAGCATATTGTCAGACGGATCATCTATCATTGGAAATTTAGCGGCTTTATACTTATTCAAATTTTTCGATTCAGATCAATTTTCTGCATCACAGGCCATGTATACCATTTTGTTCACAACTAAATGAACGGTAATTAACAAAGACATTTGCAAACACAGTTTGAATAAACAGTTTTACTTTTTTGATGTTCCATTTGTTTTTTTTTTTGCGAAATACGCATCTATAAATGATTCCATTAGAAAAGCGTTTGATGTCGGTTCAAAGCTCTATAATTAGATGAAGTTTTCCTTGAAACCGCAGCAAAGGCATGTGCAACATCAAAGGATGCGCTTTATTGCAGGTCATTGCGTTACCATCTGCACCACTCATCTAATTGCCACCGTATCAATGCAACACTGCCTTTCACTTCCTGTGAATTTTTCATTGTTTTTTCGACAAATGCAGGCCACGTTAAAATAATTATAAACAGAAGTGCTAATGTTGTGCAGCGATCACCCACTGTGTCGATGATTCGAAAGATAACATCCGAATTGAGCACACCTTAATTGGATAAGGGTGAGAATACGACTGGTGTCTGTGATGTAAGAGTTCGCCGTAATTTACTCGTCAACATATTCTCCTTGCTGTATAATTACGTATTGATGGCGTAATATTGATTTTGATGAGATATCCCTGTATTGAAACAACATTCACAGGAGGCAGACGAGTGTTACGCAATGCGAAATTAACCAGGGTTTCAATCCTAAAATCTGACCTCAACGATTAATTGCTGTGAACGGAAATTGTATTTTCGCTTAAAAAATGTGATGTTGTCGTCGTCTTTATCTAATTGTAAGAAATACCAAACATATCCCTTCTTAAAATTTTTTTGTTAAATTGATACAGCTTTCAAATGTATATACTTAAATTAGAAATTTGAAAGTTCCATCTTCTAAACAAATATTTGTATTTAATCAAATGCGCCAAATTTCTTTTCGACTTTTTCGCATTTGTAAGAATAAATATACTTCTTCCTAAAATCGGCCTCACTCAAAAACTTTCTTCTGGATTAGAAACTTTAAAAATCGGTGGAATAAAATCGAAATAATAAATAAATACAAGCAAAAAATGTTTCAAACCCAGGCCGTCATTAATATGGATACTTAATTCCTTTCAAACAGGGTCGTTTGAGTTTTGTTCTTTTCACTAAGAAGATGAAATAAGCCTGCAACTAAAAAACATATTGTCTCATTAAATGTATTCAGTTAAGAAAGGATGAAAAGCTGTGACTTAATAACTCATTGAACTATATTAATTATAGGTCATTGTTATTTATCTTATTTCTCATGATTTCTTCAAATTCATAATTTACTATTTATAGTTTAGCGCAATCAAGAATGAGTGTACTACATGAATTATGCACTGTTTTCATATGGTTTCACTCCTCTCGACAACATACGTTTCACGTTCACAATACTATCTTTCAGATCTTTGCACGGTTTCGTGGCAGATAATTAATCACATCGTTACGCTCGTGCGCGCGGACGAGATCTCCGCCTTGCTTGCCGGAATACGGTAAAGGGGCGGAGTCGGCGCTAAACCCTAGCCGATATATGTCGGTTGCTTCACATTCAGCTTTGTTCACAGGTACGATACACACGACCACTTTTATTCGCAATGAGCTGGGAGCAATATCCAATGTACATGCACCAATGCCAAGCCAACTTCATCTATTCGCAATCTGCAATGTCAGCATCGACAATGAACACACCGCTCCAAAGCCCTCATTACACCATTGACAGTCCAAGATACCAGGAATCATTAAGGTAAACATTTTCGAATTCTTAAATTTATTGAAACGTTGTCTTTTTAGTAGTGGTGGCGGAAAGGAAAACAAGAAGACGTGCAGGAGATACAAGACACCATCGCCACAGCTTCTTCGGATGAGACGAAGTGCTGCAAATGAACGCGAAAGGAAAAGAATGAATACACTCAATGTTGCCTATGATAAGGTTAGTTATAAATAAAATAATTCCATTTTCCATTCAATTAAAATATTGCTCTAAAACTTAAAAATAAGTTTTATTCATTAAAACTCTATTGTGCTTTATTAATTATTTCATGAATTTGTATGTTTTCGAAGCAGTAATAACAAATTTGATATTCCAAAATTTAATATCAGCAATGTGAAATTATGAAGCAAGTTTTATTGAAGTTTATTGTGATTGTGAGTGGTTGCCTAATTATCTTAATTAAGGTAGATCAGATAATTTTTCAATTGTTTTTGTTGACACTTGTTTATTTTAAAGTATATCAACTAGCAGAAAATTTGAATTCATTACTGTAGCTCACATAGTAAAGAAGCCCCAAGGCCGCGTCTGCTAACAGATGTTAGTCATTTTTACCTCATATAGTGAGTGACTAGTCTCTTCACAGGTTTCGCTCGTCACTCAATTTACGACCATGCATTTGAATGATGGTACTTAATCTCATCTATAATTGACATTATTGCAGCTTCGTATGGTACTACCTGATCTTGATTCCGGAAAGAAGTTATCCAAATTCGAAACACTTCAAATGGCCCAAAAATATATTGAATGCCTTGCTGAGATTCTCAAAAATGACTCGTCAACTCGACCAAAAGAGCAGTAAATACTTCAACGTTTAAAAAGATTCCCTGATGTTCCAATATGGGTATTATTTGCATGATTTTCACCATTTTATTGCTTAACCATTTTTGTGTCACATTAAATCCATTCAATTTTACATCCCTGATTCTTGTTTTATGTTCCATTTTTTTCCCATTCTATTTCCTTCAAAATAAACTGCTTCTTCATTGTCGATTTGATCAAAATGCATTGAAAAGAAATCGGCCGGTCAGTAAAAAACATTAAAACTATCTATCGAGTGGATCCGGTCAAGATTAGGAAAAAAGGTATTGAAAAAAAACGGCTGTAGCGGCAAAGTTTCAGTGCTACGGTAGATCGTCGCGCACGTGCCGCAAATCAAGATTAAAATCTGGCCGTTAATCGAATGGCCGACCGTCGACGCGCGACTATCTGCATAATTCACACTTAGTGAGCATGTTTATCTTCTTCCTAGGGGCGTCTTTCCAAAAAATGGTGATTGATTATTATTATTATTATTATAACGATCAGTCAAAACAGATGTCCAGCAATCAACAGAAGTAATCTGTAATAACCACTTAATATCAGATATCGAGTTAAGTTGCTGAATTAGTTCAGAATATTGATGAAGTTTCCTGATGTTAAACGATGATTTATCCAATTGAATCAACACAAACATGCTAACAATTTCTCACTATGATTATTTTAACTCGATCTCAATCAAAATATTAACGTATTCAAACGTATTTTTAAACACTTAAAAGCAATACATACATATAAATCCGTAATAGTAAGTAGTTTTCATTATCTTTCTTTCTTGTTCTTTCCAAATGTTCGTTTACTTCTGAAATTTGCGAATTCTTTTTAAATTCGCTAAAAAGTTACCTCTACGCATTATTATAATTAACTATAAGGTACCTCGGAATGAAACTTTCTTAGTAATAAAATACAAAATTCGTTGATCTTTCTCTCTCTCTCTCTCTCTCTCACTCTCACTCTCTCTCGCTCTCTCTATTTTAAGTAGTTTATGTAATAAATTAATCATATGCGGTTTGAATTAAGAATTTCAAATTTTTACCGCACGACGGCGCTCCGACCGACATGCGGCATTTCAAAAGGATAATAAATAGCTAGTATTCGCGACGAGTCGAAAGTCACGCAAAAATTGTTGGCAATTAACGGATAAATGTTACGTCAAAATAAGAAGGTGGGAAATGCGCAAGCGGTGGTTCTTATGTGCTGTGTGAATATTATGCAAGAGGTCATTAGTTCACGCACGAATATGATTCTCGTCATGAGCATCAATTATCACGTTACGGTCGAATACAAAGAGCGGATTGCGTAACTCGGCGCGGCAAGGTAAAGGAGGCTGGCAGGTGATGAAGAACATCTGTACACGCAACAATCAACTGTTTACGATCCGACACAATTATAGCGGACCATGACTTTGTGCTAGCTGCCGACAACCAGATTAAGACGGTTGACCGATTGAATGTATGTTATGCAACGATAATCCGGACGAAAATACAACAATTGTTGCGGATTAACGGAAGAAAACAGCTGGATGGTAAACAGTGGGGAGTTTCCAGAAAAAAGATGAAGAATGAAAATATGTTTTATGCATAAATTAAAAAAATATATATACCTACATCTAAAAATTTGCCTTCTTTCAAGTTATTCCTTCTTTCGATATCTTTTAAAATTTAAAAGGAAGTGTGGTTATTATTTATAGTCGGCATCCAGACATAACTACAAGAAGATAAATTTACGAGTACGTCTTTTATCACGACATCGTTGCAGGTTTTTTAGGTTCACCAACGCAAAGTTCACATTTCCGTTAATTTATCCCATCGCGGGATACCGTTCATATACATATCTGGTTGAAAATATTTTCTTTCATCTTCTTCAAATAATTCAAAACCGCATAATACATTTCTCATATTTTCTATTTGATAATGATTCTAAAATAATGCGTGTTTTGTTATAAACAATTTTTCTTAATAAATTTATTTAAAAATTTGCGAAATAGGCATGAAAAATATTACACGTTATTGAATACAGATTATGAGTCAAAGTTCATTTTTTACTGGCAAGGATTCTTCAAATTCGAATGGGCAATAATCCGGGTTATTGATTGGCTGAATACGGTATCCGCGAGCTACCAATCGGCAACGAAGCTCGTGCATTCTTGGCCAAGCATCCGATGCGTTCAATGTTTTCTCAATTGGCGACCATAATCTTTCAGCCACAGCTGACGCTCTTGGCCTTAATGAAAACAATTGCTGGAATTTTTAATCATTTTTTATATACCATAGTCTTGCTTCAATGTTTGTATTATCCACATATTCTCCCCAAATTGCCGCGATTCCGCCAAGAACCAATTCTTTTTGCGCTTCAGTGCCGTTGAAGTTGGTTGGATCACAATAGTAATATTGAGAGTTGGAAGCAACCGTTCCAGAAATCAAATCCTTCCAATCAGCTCCATATTTAATATAATTTAAATACCTGACGTTTCAACTTGAATACATTGATTATAGATGTAAACAGTAATTACCAACAAGCAGATACTATAACTGGAATGTTTTTCGACGTAACATTGGCAATTTGCTGGTAAATTTCTTCATGAGTATCTCCTTTCCAAATATGAATGATTGATTTTGGATCCTTAAGATGATTTTTAATTTTTTCCAATGTTTTTTTTGGCTAACCGCTTTGTTGTTATCAAATACTTCTTGCCAAAATATTGGTTTCCTCTTAATCTTGAGGTCATGAACAATCTTGAAAAGCCTAAAAATTCAAAGTAATATTGTTACCATTAAAATTGATTTCAACACTACTTTTCAAAGAAATAGTTTTCCAATTGTATCGTATCGTTTCCCATTCCGTGTTCGTCCATAAATTGTCTAATTTTCTTATTTCTCACCCTAAGGTCACAGAAAAATGCAATTTCAATAGAACTTTAATTCAAACCAGCATTCTAGAAGATAATCCGCAACTTCATCTCCACCAAGATGCAAGAACTCATCCGGGAATGTTTCAGTTACCTCATCCAAGAATTGCTACAATACGTAACAGAAAAAAAAACAAATAAATTTTAATATGTTTGAACTAACAGCAATAAATTCGTAGTTTGTTTCGTTCATCGGATCAACCAAATTGGGAAGATGTGTATTTCTTCCTTGCTCATCGAAACACTCCGTCAAAAAGCCTTCTCGCCCTCGCCATGAAGATGTATGACCTGAATAAACTTCTCATTTCATATAAATCATTTTTCTCTGCTTTTTTTTACCTGGAAGATCAAACTCTGGAATTACTCCGATGCCGCGCAACCTTGCGTAATTAATGACGTCCGCAATGTCTTTTCGTGAATACACATGTTTCGGAGAATACGCTCCCTGAATGGTATATTCATTTTTTTTTTCATATTTTGAAATTTCAAACGAACCACAGTGTGTAGCTCTGGAAACTTTTCCGATACATATGGGAATGACTCACTGTCGACCAAATGCCAATGCAGAACATTGAGCTTGTTCATAGACATGATATCCTAAAAAGTTCAGACTACATTTGAAAAAAAACGTGATTCTAAACATACCAACTGACGTTTAATGATATTGACTGACAAAAAATGACGACTCGAATCAATCATAATGCCACGAACTGGGAATCTTGGTTTATCCACTATTTCAGCTGTTCGAATTTGATATTCTTTGCTTTCTTTGTTGTAGAATATCAATTGACTGAATGTTTCCATTGCTCGGAGAGCACCCCAAACGGTCTGCGAGTTGATAACGGCTTCCGAGTATGAAACTCGAAGAAGGTCTGAAATGGTAGCTGTTATGAAATCGTTTCTCAATTTTCTGGATTACATTCTTCGCTAACACCATGAATCGGTGGTCCCTTTGGGCATCCTTCTTTGACAGTTACCGTAATAATAAAATCATCAGTTCTTCCGGTTTTCACTTCCACGGGGAATGGGAATAGCCAAGAATTCACTAAAACATATCAATAGCTAATTGCTTTCTGTGGTCATTTTACTGTAATTATTCGCCATTGACAGAAGAATGTCGCAATTTTTCATGTCTCCGAGGTCAATTCCTATTTTGTCATAGCTTAACGATCGATTTTTCGCGCCATAGACAATTTTGCTGGGAAGCGGGAAGACCTTTATAATATTATTTTTGATCAATTATTGATTGAAAAATATACCCCTCCAACAGACCATCGATCAGGAGCATCTCTGCCGTAAAACCAAGCAAAACTTGATGCAAACATAATGAAAAATATGAGAAATTGCATTTTTCTAAAAATAATTCATGAAGTCAATTATTTCGGAACAAATTGCGGATAGATATTGGCATTAAAGTATCAAATAAAAAAAAGTTGGTGGAGTATATAATTGTTTGGTGAGCGAAACAAAATGATTGCAAAGCTGTGAACGAGATATTGCTTCGTGTTTTGAAACAAAGAGCGTTTTTGACAAGCCAAAAAAACGGCCAAGCTCTCTTGGGATTTGACATGACCCTTCTCAAAATGTGCAAACATTGGCTATTTTGATACGACAGGTCTTGGTCAGAAAAATCGTCTGCTTTGCAAAATAACAGTCCGAATTGTGAGATGTTTATGATTACAATCATTCGCGGGGAACAACAGCAGAGTCATAAATCTTCGCCGGCAAACATACGCTAAAACTAACGCGGACCTACTTCCTCGAAAGAAAATTTGTTGAATGTGAACACAATTTGCTCTGTCGCGGTGACACACATGGCGCCACGAATGGCAACGTCCCGAACGATGATAAATGCCGTCACACCGTTTTTGTTTCCCTAAACATCATAGCGATTTTTTCTGTTCTCCCATGACATCATAACAGTTAATTTCCTTTTGGCCAAATAAGCTGTCTGGCACATTAAAACGGCAGCATATATAAATGGGTCGCTCGGGGCTGTGTTTTGCTGTTACTGTTATTGTTACCGAACATATTTTTCTTCTGTTATTCTATTCAATAAACTACTAAGAAACGAACGTTTTCTTACATGCTCTCTGACTCATGAGAAAGAAATGATCCAATAAATACGATCCCCCTACTTTAATATCCGCGACTATTGTCCAACATTGATTCTTCAATGCAATATTCGGAGCATTGTGTTCTCATTATCATCTTTATGGCATTTCCTCACTACGAATATGCTTCGTTTTATAGAAATTACGGCCTTGGTAGAAAAAAAAATTTTCAACGGACGTGACAAAATTGATGATATTTCGTTGCATCAAGGACAAATCAGTAGAGTTGATAATTTTTCTGACCTTGTTTCTTCAAGAACGCCAAACTGAATGAACATTCAAGTATCTAGACGACAACAAAGAAGTTTAGCTGTCTCGGAGATCTAAAAAAAAATTTCATAAAATATATAAAAATTGAGAATTGGCTATATTGGCAAAATTTCTGCGATTATTTGCTATGATAGTTTATTAGTTTAGTTATGCTAATAAATTTTTCTGGATATGAGTTGCAGAAAATATTTGTTAAAAATAATGGAAACATATTTTTCGTAAAAACGGTTGATTACTGGTTGTTCATGCACTTAATATATACTTAATTTTCTCAAAAGCGATACTGATATAAATTTCAACAGTTAAAAAATTCAAGCATAACTGAAACATTTTGACTTGAAAACATTTTAATCCACAACACCTTTTTGAATTTGTTCGGTACCCGCTCAAATATTCAAATGTTGACCCGCAATTCCAGAAACGAACGCTATAAGGCTTGAATTCGCACCTGAAATATTAATTAGCTTGCAAATGACTGAAAACGACCTTTAATTCATCGTCAACAAACAGAGAAAAAAAGTATAATTTTTGAATAATAATAATAATTTGTAGATTGAGTTCACATTTATGTTTGAAAACAACAATTTCGAATATAATGAAATCAAAATTCGTTTAATTATTGTCTTTTTTTTTTGAAATATCCCTTCTTGAAAAGGTTTTTTGTTCCAAGAATCTTCTATAATTGAGAATTGCCCTCTCTGCCGTGCTGAAGGTAACTCTCCACTTTTCAATGAATCGTTGAATGTGGCACTCAAATTCAAAAATTAACATCCCCTCTATTATATTGCATTCTCTGTCTGGGCGATATTTTTTCGAACACATTTCAAGGCCGCAAACCCACCGACAATGGCTCGCGATACAATTAACTGAAGTAAGGGCAGCGATTATTTGCTAATCGATCAAGGTAAAATCTAATCTATTAGTTCAATTTTGGCGAACAAAGAACATTAAAAAAATGACTGATATTTACAGATACCGAAAAACAACAGAAAATTGTCAACAGGAAAAATTTTTATAGAGTAAACTTGTTCCTGAAATGCGTAATTGAATATCATTTTTTTGAATCGAATTAGTAAATATAATGAAAACATTAAAAAATTTTGAAATATTCAAATTGTTGTTGATTGCATTTCAGTCTCTTTATACACGTTCTTATAATAAATTATTTAAAACTTGTCATTTTGCTCGCAAGATGTATTTTGATCGTCGTTGATTCGTTGCTGTCCGAAAATTCTTGCGAGACTAATCATGATTGACAATGATGTGCCAGATAAACGTGTAATTGGCCAATCCGTCTGTTTTTTTTTGCTGTATGAAGCTTCGCTTCCAGTGTCCCATATTCATCCGAACAAAGTGAAAGTGGTGACTGGCTGTGTCTCGCAAATTCGCGAACACCATCCACATAAATTGTTCTAATGGCAAATGACTGAAAACTATACCGAATGCGATCGGACGTCTCGACAATAGTTTAAACTGGGTCAAAATGCCTCGCGACTGTTTTTTTCAACCATCGGTTTTTGGCTTTCACTTTCAGCCACCTCAATAAGTAGCTGTTTTTTTTTTTCGATGGCTACTCGACCGCGGCGATTTCCGCAACTTTTTTGCATTTTCATTTACATTTCGCCAAAACCATGACTTTCAAAATATTTGATTCATTCAAGGCATGCACATAGCAAAAAATGGTACGATTTTGGGTTGGTTTAGATCAGATGAGGGACCGTTACATAATTGCACAAATAAAGAAAAAACAACAACAACTGTATGATTTGGATGTTCAATATCATATGTATATATGCATATATAAATGAAAATGAGGGAGAATGAAGGGAACCGCAATAAATGATGAAATAAATACCGAAACTTTCCAATAAGTACACAACTCAAACACCGAAACCCGCTATAAGCGAAAGAATAATTATTATAAATTAATAATTAATAGTAAATATGCTGAAAACAAATAGGGTATTATCGGAGGGAGTATAATGCAGAATTTGAAGATACTAAGAGAATTGAGTGGAGCACCTACTCAAGAGAATTGGTTCGTCTACCGGTTTATTGTATAATGAATTATCAACAACTACATGATTAGGAAAGTTGAGAAATCAAGGCGATAATGATATCACAATTGCTTTTTTTGATTATAAATTCAATTTTTCCCCGTTGAAACACGCATCAGGAAAAAAGGAATTGAAAGAAAAACAACTTACAATGAAATGATGGGTACATAGATGGGCAGAAATAATTTAAATTCACAGAATCTTTGTTATGACTAGTTAGAGGGTTTGCTTAGACAATAAACATTTTTTTTTGGTATTCCTAGGATTTGTTGATATGACATCGGTTCACAATACTGGGATCCCGCCCGGGTGCGTATTTTGAACTGAGAGCTGTTTAGAAAGCAGCAGCTTGCCGATGACGACAAACGCCTTCTTCGCAACAGCACACTCGAATCACTCGGCAGCCGCATCCTGAGGTCAAACATTGGGAAACTTTGATTTCCTGAAAATAATTCTTTTTATTATCAAAAATGTTGAACTCCGATCACGTACCTCTGATGTCTGCGAGCTGCTATCTCTCATCATTGGACGGTTTAGTCGTAAAACGCCAGTGCTTTGAATGACAGGACTCGTTTGAATGCTTGATAGTGGTGGAAGTGGTGTTCCCTCATTCATTGAGCTCATCGATGCCGCGATTGAACCTTCTTTTGGAATCGGGTTTACAATGGTACTAGTTTGGAAGTTCATTGGGGCTTGAGGAATTGGTGGCGGTTGAGTGTTTATTGCTTGATTCTGTCTAGATAAAGCAGCAATCGTAGAGAGTACATCAATTCCTCCAACAGGGTTTAGCATATTCGCCCAGAGCATTGTCATTGGGTCTTCAAGTCCCATCCATGGGTTCGAGATTCCATTGAGAAGATTGGTTTGAAGCAGATTGGTCTGTTCTGGCTGAGGTGGATTTGGGGTTGTAATGACAGAAGGTGGGGTAGTTTGTTGGAATGGTGAATCAATCTTTGTAATTGGCAGTCCATTGTTGAATAGTGGCAAGAAGCATGAAATATCGTTCTCCATTTTCATTTTCGGGAATTTGTATTCATCTTCATCTTCGGTCTAAATGTCGATAATCTTATTATGGTTCCTTGTTTCATGTGAAACTCACATCTGCATCAAACTTCATTCTCTTCAATGGATTAGTAGGCCGACTTCTTGGCTTTCTCGGTTTTCCTACACGTGATCTAGCAAGAACAATGCTTTTGCGAACGCTTTCCTTGTTGTCGAAGCCTGAAAAAATATGAGATTGATGATGAATCAGCTCTGCCGTGTCTTACAATTTCCGTCACTGAAGTATTGGCAGGCTTGGTTGACGAGATCTCCGGCGTCGTGATCCGGATTTTCCAAAGCCGCCATGAAGAGTTGCGACTAAAAATGAAATTTTAAAGTTCAGTTCATCGAGCTCAATTGTGTCTCTAGTACATTTCGTCATGACAGCTGTGCCGCGTCTTTCAATTTAGCACTAAGAAAGTTGCGTCACTTCGCGCGCGGCACCGTGTTTACCACCGGTGCCGATGACCCACTTTTCCGGATCGCCGAAAGGTGAGAAATTGTGAGAGATACAGTGCGCTTCAAAATTTTTTACTGTTCACTGTAGATGGCAAAGATCGGCGGCGAGAAAACTGTCATGGTCGGATAACACACAGCGCGCGACACAGGACTGCACGCACCTACAGATACAACAACATGTAGGTTAACGAGTTGCCCGCGCGGCGGAGGTGCCGCGTGCCTGCCATCCGCCAGATTTGGTGACCTTGATTACGATATAGCGCCAAACGATGCGGTCAGATCATTTCAATTCGCGAATGTCAATGTTTCAAATAAAGAGAAGAGCGCCAATTTTGTATCCCATTGTGTCATGGCCTAGGGATTTTTTGAAAGAAGGAAGGCCGTGCCGCCCTTTCTAGCCCCCATCCCTAATTTTGAATGGTATTGAATGCGGAAAAAATGTGTATTGTTTTTCGCCTAGCCCCACAAAAATCGCTGACAAACAAATAAACTTTCGAGCAAGTTATCAGTGAACCCTTATCTTAGAAATTGTTTTCATGAATGATTGTCAGCGTGGCGTATTTTTGATTTCAACAATATACAAAGTGATGGGCATATGACTCTGAACTCGCCGAGGGTCAGATGATAACAACGACTGGCAAATCGCCAGAAAGATCATTTGTTGGGAAAAAACGGCTCAGCTATACAGACAAAGTGCACAATGTCAGCTGGCACGATTTAAGTACGTACCTTGATGAATTCGATCTCAGCGACATGGTGTTTTGGCGGATGATTGTGGATGCCCTTTGTGCACGCGTTTTTGTCATCCATCGTAGTTTCAGCACGACACTTACACCATTGGCCGGCATCTGACATTTTCTTAGCGCAGACACACCGCCATGACTTGAAGTTTCTTTCCGGAACAACCTGAAATCAATATGGAGAGTTACGAAATATTAGTGCTCATTTTCAAAACCTGATAAATATTGTAGCGATAGCCTTGATACATAAGTTTTTGGTACCCTTTGAATGAAGTCACAATTTGCGGTATATCAGGGTTGTAGCGCACAAAGCTGACCTGTAATTGATTAACATAATAGCTGGGTAAACAATAAATGGCGTGTTTGCACACCCGGGGGCTCAATCATCAAAATAAAATTGACGATCAAAGTTGTCCACTACTGGCTACTCACCTTCTTCTTTTCTTTGTCAGGAGATAATGGCATGCTGCTCACACTGATCGGAGAGATTGCGGACGTATCCGTGGACGAGGATGAGATGTCCGATGAACCGGGTTTTTCGAGACCGAGCATTTTCTGAATTTAATGTTTCAATTAGATCAAACTGGGCGATCGCTGAGAGCAAAAAAAAACGAATAAGAGACAATGAGATAGGGAGGGGTTTGGCAAATTAACAAGGGGGGGGGGGTGAGAGGTTGAAGAGAACATGTCACGAAAAAAAACGGCTCTTTTTCTCCGCGGTTTCAATGAATGCGGAGATATCTCTCCTTCTCGGCGCCACTGGCGATCAGCTGATGGCTGCGAACCTCTTGAAGGCGCGTGCCATTTGAACTGATAAGACATATCGTGGCAGGAGGCACCAGTCGTGAATGCCCATGACGAAAAACAGTGTTTACTGTGATGAGATTCAGATGCGCGACGACTGTCCGACCGTTTTCACCGGAAAGGAGGACGTCGAGACTGCGACGGCGGACTCTATTGGAAGTTGTCAAGGTTCACCACATGCAAGGCGTAACGTTATGTTTACATCAGGAACTGTACGTATTGATAATACCAAGTTATCTATGTTGTTTTTTTTCGGCCCTAACGGACGAAAGGAAAACAATTTCGAAATTTCTTGAAAATGAAGTGATTGATAATTGCCGTTCAGAGAAGTTTAACTAGGGTTTCAACTAGTTTTGATGGCACAGAAACTAACCATTTATCCAGTGAACGTTGAACGCAACAGGCAGCAAATTTTTCAATGACCATCATCATCATCGACAGCATGACCCACAATTTCGCTTTTCCTTTTTTGTCGCCATATTACGAACACTATATGTATATTATCGGAGAAGCGAGAGAGTGGCCAACTACCGCAACCAACTACATATACAAAAAACAGAACGGAGGTAGCGAATGAGGATTGTCGGCGTCCGGCGCGCGGCCACTTCGAGAAGCGAGAGCGAAAGTTTTTTTCTGGTAGAATATGGCGGGTCAGTGAAAGTTGAAAATGACCGAAATGGGCAGTGATGATGATGAGGGTGACCAAGAGTGAACGTAAAAAAGTTGTAAATAAGCAGAAGGATCAGGTTCGTCAAAATGATCGCTGTGTGCCAAAAAAATATGGCCTTAGAATGAACAATGATTGGGGTTTCCTAATGCTATGGGTCTTGCTAGGGGGATCCTTAGGAATAGGCACTTATCTTAGAGGAAGTTACTCTTTAAGAAGTCCGATGAGTTTTCGATGGGGTCACCGCGCCATGACTTCGGTGAGATTGGCGGATACGAAATGTCCCGAATCGGGAGGGGTGGGATACAAGAGGTTGACGGGAGGGTAGGGCAACGGAGGCCGTCGTGCTGGGAAGAGAAGGTAGGAATTGGCCGAAAACGGCGGACGAGGTCAATATCAGGTAGACGAAACTGTTGGCGTCCTAATTTTTGCGAATGGCGTTTCAACTTTTGGGGCTGTTGCGTTACAAACTGCCGCGGGCAGGTACCACCTCTCCGTCAGAGATGCACTAATTTGGCAGTAGCGAGCGAGTACATGAAACCTTGGCGTCGAAGAGAGGGGGGGATGGGCGGGGTTAGCAGATCTTCGCTGCGAAAAAACAGATAAGCAGTACTGTTTGACCCAACCACATCAAATTGTTCTATTTTTTCAAAGTGGGAGGTGGCTGGTGGTAACAGATAGAGAAATTGATCGCGATAGTAGCACGAAAATGGCCTTATCAATTCGTTGACTTCAGCGTTTTTTCACAATTCACAAAATGCCCAATATGGGACAGTCAGCCAACAAACAGTTCTAAACCGTACATACCAGGAAGATCGTGGAAAGGGTCAACAATATTTACCCCCACCGGCGGCGGTCGAAGATGACCGCACGCATCGTGAAACCTAGCGAGAAAAAAAACCAACTCTCGGTGCCGGTGCACGCCACTATCGCACGGCGCTCCTTTGAGGAATAGAGGAAAAATCATAAGCATAACTTTTTATAGCCCATTGCGGCGAATTCGGGAATGAATATCTACCTGGCACCGCTAAACGCCCGTACCGTTCCCACATTTTTATGCAATACTATCACAAAGATGCGCTGCTCGGAAAAGAGAACAATCTATCAACCCATGCCCCTCGTCGATTATGCAATTTTTTACGATCATCAATTCGTGTGCGCGAAAAGAACTAAGGGATAGGACAGCGCGTGAAAGAGATATGAGGTGAAGATCGCCGTGGATCCAGAGATGGCACCGAAGTACTCAATTAGCATGAAATAATACTGTAGTAGGCCTGCGGGTTGACATTACTGGATGAGGTGAAGTTGTAAAGATCAGTTCTCACTACCACTTAACCCGCCACAGCGATACAACAACATGCGAACAAGAAATGGGAACGGGGTCAGAATGCCTGCCACGAATCAGCCCAAGATCTGCGTGGACGCCTCCGGCGGTGGCCGCAACACGTAAACATCCGCGAATCGCCGCCGAACCGCCCTCCTTGCATCCGACGCTGTCACGAACCGCGATGATGACCGGCGGTGGTGAAGCTTGTTTGTGTGGGGCCGACCGCAAAAACTTCAGACGCTCATTAAGGCATTCTGCAATAAGTGGTCGGTAGACCCCATGCAGTGAAGAAAAGAGAAACTCCTAGGGAAAGCAAGACTTAAGATGGACAAAACCCGAGAAGTTTCACATAAAAACAACTCGTGAAATCCGCCTACGAGAAGCTGCTGGAATTCCATTCAACCGGTTTCAAAATGTGCTACTCAATCAAACATTATTTGAAAAACTGAAAAAAACTCGCTAAACGGAGATATCAGTGTGAGCGAGCCATTTTATGTTCACACATTTTGAATCGTTTTTTAAAGTTACGCGTTCAAATAATTTGATGCAAATCCTTCGAGAAGAGAGGTATTTGGCATTGGCGTGACCATGTTTTTTTCGGTGTCAAGGATGCCAGAAAAAAACCGATTGCCCCCAAATATGGCAGAAATGAATTGGCGATCTCATCATACAGCCGCTCACATACCTTCTCGCCGGTCCGATTGATGATCGTAGATGGGAATAGTTGCGTAATAGTAACCGTAGGCGATGCTAATTTTTAAAGGCACTTCCTATGACAACTTTTTTTATGATCCTTTATTATACTCAGGCAATAAGTAGGCAGTGGTGGGGCATTCTTGAGACTGAGGAAGACGGTCAAGCTTCTAAAGAATGGCAAAACGAACGAAATGAGCCCCAATCGAAAATGGTAGTATTGCGCCGAATGGGCGGAGAAGTTTTGAGTCGGCCAAGGAAATAGGAATGGCTTCTGACACCCGCCAAACGGAAGATAATAGGGAAATAGGTTTTGTGTGCGCATACTGTACGAAACCTCGGTTGATGAGGGTCGAGGGTCGAAACGGCAAACAATGACCCCTCGGGGCGTGTTGTGCGGTGCGCGTGTGTGCTTTAATCATTCTCCGCGTCCGTCGCAGTCTGTGGTGGCGACGGCGCACTATTGCGAGAGTGGCACGTAACGCCACTGACCAACCAAGTGCAAACTTGTAGGGCAAAACCACTGCACCTCTACCGAGCGCGTACTGTATTTCCGCGCGCTCGTCTCTCGCGCACGTCTCGCACTGTATATTTATATAAATACATTGTGTATTTATTTATATATGCGTGTCACCGAGTCGCGCGCACTCCGCCGCCAACTCATTCTCTCAGCCATCTTTGCCTGCCTCGCGCACACAATTTTTCCCGATTGATGGCCCCCGCGGGCCGTATTACGAATTACAAAAGTGCTGTCGGGCGGTGGTACAGGTCAATTGTCACCGGCGCCAGTCGCCGCCACCGTCGGCGACCGATCCCATGTCGAGCGATTTGAAATGGCATCTTCGGCCGCGATTGATAGATTTCGATGGTGTTGCGCAACTGCGGTGTCCGATGAAGACAACGGAGACGACGACGACGACGACGACACCGGCACCGACACCGCCGCGGCCTGACACTGCTTACTCATCGGGGGTGATGCCAAACTGAAGAGCATGACGGAAATTCATAATAACATACACACATACACAAGATGAATATGTTTAAAGGCAACAGAGCAAAAAAAACTGTGTGTTGATATTTAAAAAATGTAGTCAAATCGAGTTGAGGATCAATTTGTGTTAGTGGCAAAACACCAAAACGGGGAAAGTAGTGCGTGCGCGGAAAAAGTTCGTGACCGGTGATAGGTCGCCGCGCGGAAAAAAAACCAAAACGAGGCTCAAATAAATAACGAATCGCCACAGCGTATACGTGATCGGAATTTTTTCTGCCCACATATTGTCGCTCGCCGAAATCGAGTACTACTTCTTGAGGTTTGAATAGGGTTTGGAATTGAATGGAAAAGTTCAAAATGCCTACTTTAATACGAATGTTGAGATATAAATGCGGCGGTGATTTGATTGACATGCCAAGTATAAAAGAAACAGCGTAAAAATCAATGATAATACGCTTTCGAGGGAATAATACTCGGCATTCCAGAAAAGGCGGGCAAGGATTAAAATTGCTCATTTGTTACCAGCCCATCTCACAGAATTATAATATTTAATCTCTTTTGTGAAAACAAAGAAAAACGTGGAATATCAAAGGGTCAAGTTTTTTTTTTGCTGAATTTCGCGTGATTCGATTAAAGCTTGACGTCGAAACATTTCCGCTTCGGAAATCGACTTGCTTTCGATTTCACGGATTTTAAATGGGTGGTGCGGAAAGGTGAAACAAATAATGAGTTTGAGTAATTTAAATATGTTTGTTAGCTATTCATTTTTTAATTATTTTGATTCGTCATCACTTATGATATTTTGTCGAAGCAGTATCATCTGAATATGACATTTATTATGATTGTGCACTTTCAAAGTAAGTTTCATTTCAGCAATTAATTTATTCATTGGGGAACATTCCATTTAACTTCAATCTCATTTTACCAGCAAATTTTTTTTGTCAATGAATTCACCTTGCTGAGATGAGATACGAAAATCCAAAATTGGAAAGACAGTTCTGACCTAGAAACCACTTCACAAAAATCTGAAACGGATAGAGTCTGGTACCAAATTGAAAAATCTCCAAAACGGCAACCAAACATCATCGTGCGATAGCAATTACCGAAGGTGGATGACCTACTTCGATTGCGTTGAACCGCGATTGCTATTTTCTTTATCAGTATCTTTGACTTCTTGTTCAAAATCAATTATGTCAGGACATCGGATATTACGCAAAAAGGAACTAGCTTATTGGGCTTAGATAATGATAGGAAGATTTTTGTGATCAGGATGACTCTCTATCTCTTGCGGATGAAAAGTTTACCAACTTGAATCGTACTAAATTTGGTTTTGGTCAACAAATAGATGGGTTTTGAATCGATCAACCATCTTCGTCGTGACACTAGATGCCCTACGGCTGTCTGACAATCCACAGCGGACTATTTGCATTCAATTCTTGTGCTTACTATTCACTACTGTTGTTGGTGATGATGTGGGAGGTGAGGAAGGGGTTGAAAAGGCCCAGCCTCTGTTTGTTGTTTGCGGCGCTGAGCCGCGCGCTGGCCGGCTCGAATTGTGCCAAACCGTGATGTCCACGCTGGAGCCCCTCTCGCTCGTTTACTTCCTCGTTTCAAATGCTCTAAGGCGAGGCCGTGTGCCTCTAATGCAAAGAGAAAGACAATCCATCAGTCGACAGTAACGTAAAACGGTTAGCCTCTCATTTCCCTTTTGACGGAAATCGCCATACAAACATTGAAGTGTTATGCGGAAAATGAAAATGGGCAAGAGGAGAATAGAGAAGGGTGCTCGTTATAAGTATGAAATGTAGCAAAAAATAAATTACTCAAATAATAACAATTCAGCATTGCTTCATTATGTATCTGATTAATATAATGATTACACATTCAAATACAAATAAATTGAACACAGAATGAATTATAGAAACAGAGAAATAATATCACAATTGTGTTAATATTAATGCTAGAAAAAATTAAGCTCTATTTCTGAAAAAAAAAAAAACGCCGAAAATAAGCCGCATGAGATTTCGCGAATATTTAGTTCCTTCGAGGTGTGCTAAATTTCAGCTGCCGAGCAGAAAATTTGAATGAAAGTACCAAAGACTGTCTGCAATGCAAAATTGAGCATTGATATCGAATAATTAGCATCGAAATCTGATTTCTCACATTCCTAGCGCCCTCATGTGCCCCGTAGAAACACTATGCGCTTGAGTGTATCTAACAGGAAGCTCGTCACAGCAATCGTGGAAAAATGGCTGATCCAGCTACTGACGTGAAAATATCGTTCCTGTTTCTCGGTTTGGTCAAAAACTGCTGCGAACAATAAGGAGCACTTCAGAATTTGCCAATTCCGTTGAATAAACAGATCATAACACGCATGTTTACAAGCTCTCAATGCATACATATTTGGCCAGAAAAAGTTGACTAATGATCTATGTGAACAATACAAAAATGTTTTACAATGGCCAAAGAGAATTGTTAATATTCCGTGTTCTGAATAAAATGTTGGAACATAAATTTCGAAGAATTGTTAGAAAAGGCTAGTAAAATATTAAAGATATCAATTGCCATGCTAAAGTTTTTTATGCTTTTTACGTTTTTAGAAACAACGTTTCATTACGTAAATAAGTTTAGAAAAAAATCACTTTAGTCGGCTTCATAATATGACATTGTTTTCAATTTAAATTAAAATAGCAATATTTAAAAATTGAAACGTTAAGATAATTTCGTTTTTTTTTAATTTTTTTCTAAATTTCAAACATTTCTCAACTTTGTAGTTCCAAAAATTACTTTTTTGAAATTATTATGAAAGTAATTTTTACAATATCTGTTAATCGTAGCATATCAAAGTTCAATTCAAACTTCTCAAAATAGTTTGCCTATTTTTCATGTTGAAAAGGAATCTTTTGCATTTGAGCCCTGCCTGGGCAGGTGAAATGAACAATATTGGCTCAAGTTTTTGATTGCTTATGTTCTCATAACAATAGGATGTGCATTCACAGATAATACTGAAATCCGATTTTTTCCCATCATTGTCTAGTTTTCTTTCAACTTCCCTAGTGTAATGGCGACTGTCGGCATATATCAAGACATATCGTGATAAAACGTGAGTCACCTGCGCGTAATGCCGAATAGTTATGCGTCTCAGGTTGTGTGAGTCGCCAACGTCAAACAACAAAACGTCGGGAGTCTCCATGCAAAAAAAAGATGTGATGCTATTCGGTGTTAGATTGTTTGTATATTTGCTCATTTGCTTATAATGCGTTGAATCAAGCATGATCAGCAATGTGTACGAGAAGCCTGGAAGAAAAACGTCAAACGTGAAGCACTTGAGTACGTAATGTTATGAGATATCATAAGACACATTAAAGATTACAAATCAGAGAAAAATTAGATTATAATACATAACAAATTATCAAATTTACTTTGTTGCTTCGAGAAGTTCCTGGAAAAATTGCAGAACAAAAAAAAAACTGCCGTTAATAACATAATTTAATAAATATTTCCTAATTAGGATCACGATGTAACGGTTTGATGTTATATTGAAACCGTCAAGAAGAATTCGCAAATCAACCCTGTGCGATCGAAAAAAGGTCATTTGAAAAAAAGCGCAACTAAAAAATAGCACCTTTCCATAAATCCCATTTCTAGTCATTTTTCTATGAATTATATACAAATTATCGCAATTTTTTTAATTAAGTCAAAAAATTGCAACTCTCTCATATGTGTCATTCATCAAAAATCTTCACATTTTAAAATATCGCCATTACATATGTTTCCTTAGGCAACAGTTTTTTTCGGTCAACAGAGTTTGTTCGGAAATTTACAACGCGCAAGACAACCTCGACGGAAAAAATGGGCGGCGCATTGGAAAAAACGGTGCGCGAAAAACCGGCCCTGAAATATTTTGCCACTCGAATATAAAAAGGACGCGTAAATGTTCGGAACTTTGCTAGCACGCAAGTTTTGGCTGCTCACCGATATGATTTGGCACATTGCTCTATGCGCGGTGTTTGTTTCACGTATGTTCCCGTTTTCCAATTATTCGATTTCAATATGATTTGGTTTAGAAATTGTGGATGCCGGTTTCCCAATTACTCGAACTAGGAGCATTTACAAAGAGGACAACCGAACGATTAGTGAACTTTCATCAGCTCTCGGAGCTGCTTTCCCACCGTGTTGTTCCGATACGATTTCCAGCATTGCTTGTAGAAGACTTCAACAAAATAATCCTTCAAAATTCCTTGATAGGTATAATTTATTATAATTCATTTAATATTTATTGATCATCTCAGATGCCGCAGCGATGCCGATTTCTCTCTCATTCAATGTTGCAACACTTGTGGTCTTGAAAGTGCCGCCGACCGTTATGAATTAATATTTGAGCATGGTCACCGTTCGAACCAATGCTTTGACCGACACGGAAGCGAGTTTTGCAAGCGGTTCCTAAAGAAGGAAGACGTATGGGGCAAGGTAAGAAATAGTGCATTCAAGTGAATAAGCAAACAAATATTTCAATTCAGTCTCACTGGTCTTGCGATGGCTCGACAGCGCATTTGGCATTCCGTATCTGTAGAAAAACTTGCAACTTTTGCCGACGGGACATCTATCGAACACCGTTGGGACGATTTCAGCCAGTCGCTTGTGGAAAACCGCCAGTTCTGTTGCCAAACTAATTTATTAATTTATTGCGAACTAATTCTCTATAATTATTAATTTATCAAGTATATTTGTCATGACGCTTCGAAAACCGATCTCGATCGATTCTAATTCATTCATTATATAATAGTTTCGTTAAATGATTGGATAAATTATTGACATGCATTAATTTGATGTGCTAAAAACGGTGCAAATGGCAAGAGAGCGCAGAAAATGCGACGCAATTGGCTCATAATTTGCACGCCAAACAAGTCAATCAAATGAATGCGTTTTTGTCCGATCTTGATATCGAACACAGCCCATGTTGAGAGATAAAGTGGCACCGCTCATTCAATCTGAACTCTCTCTTATGCACGCGTTACTGTTCTCAACAACCCGCTCTGTATTGCAACGACGGCAGTTTTCAAATTATTTGAAGATATCCCGACAAGTTCGAGAAGCCCTCATTAATGGAGAAGGAGTTGTTGCGCTTGAAAGTACCGTCATTACCCATGGATTGCCCTATCCTCATAATTTAACGTAATTTTTACAAATAAATAAATAAATAAATTAAATACAAATAAGTAAATAAATAAATAAATATATAAATATATATATATATATATATATATATATATATATATACACGTATATATTCAAAATGACTATACACATTTCAATTCAGTACTGCACGAGAATTGGAAGAGCAAGTAAAGCAATCTGGAAGCCAACCAGCGACAATCGCAATTTTAAATAATGAGGTAATGCAAAATATTGATTACTTAATATAATTAAAATACAATTATAGATTCACGTTGGTTTGGACGACGAAAAATTGGAAACCATTGCTAGTTCGAGAAACTCTGTCAAGGTTTCAACACGTGATATTGCAAAAACGCTGGCTCAGGTTTTGAATTAATGCTAATTCAAAATGACTCTCGAATTTTAGAATTTAATTGGGGGAACGACAGTGGCGTCTACAATGAGAATTGCGAATGCAGCTGGCATACAAATTTTTGCAACTGGAGGAATTGGAGGAGTTCATCGAGGAGCAGATCAGAGTAAATTAGAAACAAAATTTTGCAAAAAAAAAACAATAATTTATTTGTTTCAGCATTTGATATATCAGCTGATCTGCAAGAACTTTCACGAACTCCTGTTTGCGTTGTTTGTTCGGGAGTGAAAAGCATATTGGACATTCCAAAAACTGTTGAATACCTGGTAAGAAGTGAATTAAAATTCATTATTTCAAATGATCGTTCATTTAGGAAACACATTCGGTGAATTGCATAGTTTTAGGTGAAGAAAATATTTTCCCGAGCTTCTTCACAAGACATTCGAGCTCAAAAGGCCAGTTTAATTGTACTGATCTAAAGGAAGTTATAAAAATTATTCGTAAGCAAAACTATGTAATACCAAAAATGGCCACGTTTTTTTTTAGAAATTTCAAGTGAACTTGGATTGCCAAGTGGAACTGTTTTAGCATGCCCCATTCCAGAAGACTACGCTGCAGATGGAAATGATATTCAAGAAGCGATCAATAAAGCAATTCAGGAATCAATGTGGGCCTAATAAAATTTAACGAACACTATAGAAATAGTTACAGTGAGAAAAAAATTGCATCTCAGCAGGTCACCCCATTCCTTCTTGCAAGAATCAATGAACTAACGAAAGGAGCTTCTATGAAAACTAGTGCGTTTAAAGAAATTTTATACAATAATGTTTGAAAAGAAAAGCTTTATTCAGATATCGCGTTATTAAAGAATAACGCAAAAATTGCCGGAAACCTTGCAAAACTTCTAGCTCAAACTCCTCGACGAATAGAAAACTTCAAGCAATCGTCAATTATCAGAAAAGCTCCAAAAGTTGTAAGTTACTATTTTCATCGCAGTACACGACATGACTTTTCTATTGACACTAATCTGGTGTCGTGATTTTTGCTTGCTTAGTTTCAATACAATCAAACCTCACTCTAATATAAAGAAGTTTTTGTTTTCCAAGCATACTAGTGTATCATTCGATGTTTGTCTAACATTTCAAACACTATTGTTTTTAAGGTGACGGTGGGGGCGACTATTGTTGATTGGGAAGCGATCACACATGAGACCATCAAGGTTAGTTGAAATTTATTTAAAGGTGGGCGAAATATACAAAAACGATGATTGTCACACGTAACGAAAGTTGAAACCTGCACTTAAAAGTTTGGCGTTGAGCTGCTATGGATTGTGTGAGCCAGCATTTGACGCCACTGCTCGCCGCGAACTGTAAACTCGTGCTCAACTTCATCGATGACGGATTTTTTGATGAATGGCGAATATTCCGAAACCACTGTTCTCTGATTTGTTTCGGCAAAATCAATTCTCGAGAATTTGAAATCGTTGATATAACCATCGCCGTGTTTGTTTCTAAAAATAGAGCAATAGCGAAAAACTGATAACATTCATCAATTTCTTACACTTCGTTCATCATTTCTTTGACGTAATCCTGATTTTGCTTTTCGAGCTCGACTTCTTCAATGTCCTTTCGCAATGCTAGACAAATGAATATCTTGAGCGGCACAATGACACAGTAAGCGCAGATACCGAAAATTCCACTTTTGTCAGTGAGCCACCTGAAATTATTAAAGTTATACGATACAACTGGAATTACCTTTGACTTTCTCAATTTCGTGTTGCAGCTATTCGAGTGATCCAATGGACAATAGATCTTAGTAACATTGAGCATATCTGCAAATTCGAAAATTGTTCCCAGTTGAATCGTATTTCACTAACGGCTGCACGCATTCAGAATAAAACTTGGCGGGCAACATTTTAGCTGATGATAGGCGTCTTCCCAAACTCCGCAATTCTCCTCGATTATATTCTCAGTGTAGAGGAGAGTTATGTGATTCTCCAATCCCGTATGAGCGGAACTCATTAGAGTTGAAAATAAAAAGATCATCGCACCATCGACAGTTAATGTAAAGCATGAAATCCAATGACAGACAATAAGAACGGATGTGCTGGTTCGAATTAATCCAATAAGCGTAATAACGCAAAGAATAGCCTTTAACAATATTTGAAAAATGAACTACTAGGTAACCTTACTTGAATAACATTAACAATACAATAGGTGACGATGTAAGGATCGAATTTCTCGATTGGAATGAGAATGAAGAATGGATTGGAAAGTATCATTGCAGTGATCATGAGAAGGACCACCTAAATGAAATAGAGCTATGCAAATTAGACAAATCCGAGGCAAAAAAGAAAAACAGAAAAAATCATACCTCCATAACAAGAAGAATTATGTAGGTGGCATAAATGCACGATTTCTTACCCATTGCAGCCAGTTGAATCTAGAAGAATGAATATAGATTCAAGGTATTGTAAAGTTTTCGCGTGAGAATGGAACGACATGCCATTCAACCGTCCGAGGTGTTGACTGTTTGTAAAGCGCGCGTGGCACAAAAAAACCGATGTTTTTGTTTTTCGGTTGCACAAGAACGCGAGAAACGATAGAAAATTGAAATTGGACGACCGGCACAGTTTAAAACAAAAAGGCTAGGCATTGATTGAAATGAGGAGAAGCGTGGCGTGGCATCGGGCGCCGATCTGGCTCTAGTTTTTTGTTTGGTATTTGCAGAAAGTATCATTGAGACGAATAGAACTCGTCATCACTAGTTGTGATTAATTTTAGCAACATAAACGGTTATGATTCAACAGCTCGTGGTTTTAGGAAGATGGCGGATCGTATCCCGGCAAGCTTATACAACGAGTAGGAGGAGTGGGAAGAAATCACGCGGATGCTTTAGCACGGTAAGTCAATCATCTAATGGCGCATTTATTCGCGTCAAATCTAAAAGCCTTGAGCAAATAGAAAATTTTTGTTTTGTTGGTTTTGATTTTCTCGGATAATATCTGAAAAGTCAAAACTTCCAAAGAATAAATGTATATTTTAAAAACAAAATATATTGATTTTGAATACGCAATAAAAGGGAGAAAATTGCAGGCTTGGCTGCGATTCGGTGCTCGTTTCTGCGGTTGGTAACGATTCGAACGCGGAATTTGTTCGCAATTCTTGCAAACACATTGTTCGTTACTATTATTTTCATTTGCAAAAAATAATTTCCATCTTGTTTAGAATTTGTGCGGTCTAAAGACGTATTCCAACGCGCCAACTTGCACATATCTTTCAATAAATGTTGGCGGGAATATAAAATACGGAATTTCGACAATTGAACCTTTATTGCACTTGGTTACCCCGTCACTGGTATGATTCACAAGAACTGTTTACATTATTTGTGAAATTCAGGTGACTGAAAACAAAGAACATATTGAAAATGCTGAATATGTTGTGTTAGATGCCAACCTTCCGTTGCCAGTTATGAAAGAAACAATCAATATTGCAGAAAAATGCGGAAAGCCTGGTTTGACAAAAGCACTCAGATAGATGTTCTCACTTGAATTTCTTGATTTCAGTGTGGTTTGAGCCTACAGACATCAAAAAGGTGCGAGCAATCTTTGATTGTGGTGGGATTGACAAAATTGCTGCAGTTTCTCCAAATGCAAATGAGTTTTTGGAATGGCTGAAGCTTTGCAAGATCGAAAACATTGACGGTGAGCGATAGAGATATTGATCCGAATCTGTAATTTTCCCAAAAGCTAAAATTTCTCTAATGACTATATTTAAAAATATTTGTTTAACGTTAGAAAGTGTTTCTAAAAATTATCTGAAAGTCGTTTTAATTATCACTCTTTTTTTGAATGCGGACCAAATTTTTTCATGATTTTCGTACTTATTAAAAATCTCTATTTTTTTTTATTTCAAAAAAATCTTAATAGGCATATTTGTTAAGGAGACGTTGTTAAGTCACCACGTAGAATATTGGAACTGATCGAAAAAGAAAAAGAGAAGGTGATGAAGAACGTGTCAATAATGGTAGTGTCGCTGGCGCAAAATGGAACTGCTGTGATTCACAGGTTCGTTAACAAATGCCAACTCCGCAATGTCGCATACGTCTTGAAATTTAAGGGACAAATTTGGCTTGCTTACTTTTAAATCGATTGATGCGCCCGTGTCACCAAAAGAAGTAGTGTCGGTCTCAGGAGCCGGCGATAGTTTCAACAGCGGATTACTCGCCGGACTTCTTTATGGCAAATCTCTCGACGACAGTATCAATGTCGGGCAGCGTTGCGCGTCGGCCACACTACAATCAGTTCTAGCAGTTGCTGAAAGTCTTAGTCCCGAGTTTGTTGAATAATTTTTAATGAAAAAATTGTCCAAAATATTTTATTCCTCAAAACATCGTCCATATTATGAATAAATTTCTTCTACTGGTTAGAAACGAAATACAAATAAATGTCAAGAAAGCATTCAAATTGAGATCAAACATCGGTGTAACAAAATTATGGCATATACTGAAAATAATCGATGGAATATATTTGAAGTGTGATAATTTTCAGAAAATTTGGGATTTGCTTAAAATACGTTAATTTGGGATATGAAAATGGGATTAGTTGCATTGTATATTAGTTGTTTTTTTTTTCGAAAAATTACGATCACAATGCAGAATATGGGGAATAGTTCATCGTGATATGTATAACCGGCAGACATTTGTGCGGCCGTACTACTTTCTAATTTCCGGTAATTACCCTGAAACTATATTATGTGGCATTTACTCGGACTATTCTATACTGTCTTTGGTTAAAAAATACAAAAATTAAAAGTGAAAAAGAAAATACAAAATAGGAATGCTCTGAAACAAGTACAAAGTTTGTAATATGAAGTTAGTTTTCGTCATCTCCGAAGGCCTCGGCAATCTGGTTCTGGCTCTATAAATACAGAAACATTGTTTTAACTTTAAATCTTGAAAATTACCAGAAGCTCCTTCTCGTACTCTTCATGGGCCTTCTGGATGTCATCCATGACGGAAAGTGTCGACTTTAGTGTCTCCTGGAGCTTGATTTTGTGAATCTCGCGGTCCTCCTCAGGTACATATGAAGCCATCAATAGCTCCGACATGTTCTTCTCATCCATCTCCTTCTTCTCATCAAGGACTGCAATCCAGTCGATCAAGGTTTCGCGGTACTTGTACAATATGCTCTAAACACAATCATAGGGTTTGACGAACAGTTTTGAAGTATCATTACGTGGACTTTGTCCAAGTGGCGTTCAAGATCAAATGTGAATGGATCCGAGGTAGTTTCATCACTCTCTTTTTTTGAGCGATTGCGCTGCTTCTCAATAGCGAGAACCCTAAAAGTATAAATCTATTTATAATATTAATAATATGATTTCAAACCAATCGTTGGCATCGTTTCCCCCAGCAGCCTCAAACTGAATATCATCGTTATCTGTTGTTATAGTAATGGTTGTCTTGTTGTCGACGGTGATATTACGAACGTCGGATAGCTTCATCTTTCCTTGCGGTGGCACTATAAATCAATATTTACAGAAAAACAAAACACGATAATTGCTTACATTGAACATCCTTGTGCCACATCAAGTGACTGTCGGTAAGTTGAACGTAACGATGCTTGTATTGAAGAATTTTTTTCCAGGCAAGACGAGTTTTGTCAACTTTTTGAAGATTTCCGAACTGAACAATCAAAGCGAAATAAGTTGTTTTGAGATTTCGACTACCTTGAACACGGTGCACTTTTCTGGTTCATTACTTTCGCCAGTGAGCGAAATATTATCCAAAAACTTGGTCATCTCATGCTTGTTATTTTCGCTTGTCACTTTCTCGAAAACATCGGAAAGCCATGCTTCCTTAGTCGACAATGATCCGAGGCTCACTGTGCAATTTGACACTCGTTGCAGCATTTTCGACAGAAGAAGGAGAGTGCGAGACACTCGAAGATCCTGAAAATTAAATCCCTTATTTGCCTTTACGGATTTGCTCAAAACCGGTTGATCGATGCGAATTTCAAAAGCTTTAGGATTCAAGATAGCAGCAGCAAAGAATCTCATAATCATGAAAGATGAGATTGCAAGTCTCTGAACTTCAACTCTTCCAGTTTTGCACTTAACAACTTCTCGGAGATCGAAGAACAAAAGTTTAATGAAATGAGGGCAATTCGTCGAACTTTGCGTGACTCTGTCGAAAAGCAATGAGAAGTAGAGCAGAAGATTCGCCTAAATTGGCGTTAATTATTCATTGAAACAATTTGAGAGACAGAAATAGATGCCTCATACCTTATTCTTCTCAAGAGAACAACCGTCTTCAATGCGAATCGGGTCTATCTCACAGTTTTTATGTTCCTTGAATATCTGAAAATTTAAAAATTGAATTGAATTGCTCAACTATATTTCAACCTTATCAATCACTGGCTTCAGTGTAGTAATCAAGTACATTCTTCCGAATGATGTAAGAATCTCGAAAAGCATTTTTCCGGCCAAGGATTGACCACGAAAGAGGGTGTTCTCATCTCTGCAATCAGTCAATGATTGGTTCAATTTATGTTAGTTGTTGAACTCACTGGCACTTTAGAATATTGTTGACATATAGCGAGTTGAGGACGGGACGAATGTTATCCGATTGGGCGAGAAGTTCAACCAATGATCGCGATATTTGAGACAGCTCGACCTTGGGAAGTGACTCGATTACTGCATAAATTGATGCTGTTATCGGATAGACAGTTCCAGCACTGCTGAGAATATCCAAAAGCGGTCTGACGATTAAATATATGTTTTTTTTTTTTGAATAAAGTGATTACTTGTATACATGAAGGCGAAGAATGTGGTCAATTTGATGAGAAGTTTTTACAAGAACATCACCAATCTCCTCGATCTAAAGTGAAACAATAGTATCCAGTTTTAAAATCCTTTCTAGGGTACCTCTGGCTTTTCATGGGTCTTGGCTCTTAGGTAGAACCATTTAGCCGGTCCTGCTTCCCACCGTTCATCAATATCGACTCTTCAAAAACAAATTTTTAATACAATGGACATTAACCTTTAAGCAATGTGCATGCATTTCATTTCAAGGTTGACTTTTAGACATTTCCCTCTCAATAACAAAATTTGCCATTTCCGTTTCCGCTCTTATCTTAAGCAAAAATGCATACCTAACTTGTCCATGAAATACGGAATTAATGCCTTTAAGTAAATCTTGCCAAAGTGTCATTTTCAAAGACAGCAATCCGTCAGAACACGGCATTTCCAACCATTCTTTACTTCTTCTCTGTTCAGCGTCAATTGTCAATTTTCCAAGGTTCTGAACCGATCCAAAATTAGATATATTATTCGGAATGACAAACCGTTGCTGATCCGATTGTTGAAACTAGCAAGAGAAGCGTTGGGCTGTTGGTCAATTTTAAACCACCGCAATCAACAACTCTGTAATCAGATGCAGATTATGGTTTTATTCTGTAGCGTTCGTAATTTTTAACGACTTCATTATATCTAATATTTGAACAAAAATGTGTTCGATTGCGCATTGGATTAACAAATCATTGTTCAAGTGACGTTAGAGTTCATCGAAGAACATTTAAACGTTTTTTTTCCGCCTTGTAAATAAAACTTCCCATGAGGATAAAAATAGAAATGTGAAGTTTCAGCTCGAAATTAATAATACCAGAAAATTGAGTGGGCGAGAGGGATAGTGCGTCTAATGATCTATTCAAGGAAAAAAATTGAAGAGAAAATAATACTGCTAATATGAAATGGAATAGAAGGAAACATGGCGGAGGGAAGAAGAAAACATGACTGTATTGGGACCCAAACAATATATTTTCCTTTAAAACAAAAAAAAACTGCGTCATATACGACATTAAATAAACGCAAAACACACACACACGCCACAGCTAGATCATTCTGGTGTTCTCCAATACACAAAAGTAAGAGTTCTCTGTGGTGGGCGTTGGTTATTTGTATAGACGATTTTTTGAGCTCTCAAGTGCGCTAGAATCGATGTGGAAGCTATATCTAAAGTTCGTCTAGAAGTTTCGCAAGTGTGAAGTAGAAAATGAAGAACGAACATCGTGTGAATTACATTTGTTTAATTGCGTGGGTGATTATCGGTACCCTCTCCATTTTCGTCACACTCCTTTATTTGCTCACTTCTTTTTTTTTGCTCAAGCTGGTCGGCCTATGTTTTTACGGCAATAACACAAAAATATTTTAATCAAACGTCTACTAGGAAAAATTTGAAAATAAAATGATGACATGTAAACATTTAGCTGAGTAGAACGAATATTCAACGGGGGGCATTGATTGAAGCTGACTCAGAGTTGGTGTCCGACAAAAATAAATGCAAATGCGACGTGCTGATTTGTGTTGTATTATTTATTTTAATGGAAGAAAAAGGTAAGCATCACTTAACACATTTCCTATAAAAGGCTGAAAACATTAAAGTAAAAGTGCGCTGAATCCCATTTCTTTTTACTCCAGGAATATATGAATGACCGGGTTTGTTCTTCTCGACATTATATGATATTGAAAAAAGGGTATTTTTGTTTTCTCTTCTAAATTGTGTATTTTTAACAGAAATCCAAACAATAGTTGGCAATGGAGTTAATAAGCGGCATAAAATGAAATACTTTATTATCGGATTTTGTCGATGAATAGTAATGAAAAAACAGAAACATTGTGAAAAATGTTGAAATAACTATGTATTAATGTGTAATCGGATTTGATTCATTACTAATCTAATGTGCGTACTCTAATGTGCTGTTTAGTGTACATTAGCTCATAAATATTGGGAAGAGCTGAAATCGGGTTATAGAAAAAGTTATACTTAATATAATCCATATTTCATTACGTTAATAATTATACTATCGCAATTTTAACTTGCGCAATTATTTCGTTGAATATATATATATATATATATATATATATATATATATATATATATATATATATATATATATATATATATATATACATATATATATATATATGTGTATATATATATATATATATATATATATATACAACTGAAAACGACATTGTTAAGCTATTATATTTCAGAAATTTGTTTTTATTATGAATGAAGCGTAAACAAATTTTACAGTATATTGAAAATCAAATGTGTATCGCTAGCTTATAAACCATAGGCATTAACTATGAATCCAATACTTATGAAAACGGAAGTGTTAGGAGAAATGTATGCTTCCAGGAATTTTCTGAAGAAATCGTAAACAAACCTACGATTTCCTCGTAAAATTGCGTGAGTTACCGATAAATTCTTGGCTCACTAAAATCCAATAAAACGCTAATTAGTCTAACGGTATTATAACTGGTGTTTGAACAATTTACATTAAGAATACTAACGAGAACTAAGAACAAATGAATTCGTATTAGATTATATTTATGACGACAGAGTGCTGCTAATAATTGTATTACGTATGTGTGAATGTTGCCTAATTTGTGTAAGTATTGTTTCTCAAATATATGGTATGAAAACAGAGATTGGTTCTGTCACGCAACATCGAATGTTATACAGCTGAAACAAGAATCTGCAGCAAAAGCTCAGAAGCCGAGTAAAACTGGTGGGATGAAATGAAAAGCAATAACTTTCAACAAATTGTAAGAAGAGATGGGTTGAGTGAGTGGGAGATAGAGGATGAGTTTTGCAATAAATTATAATAGTTTCTTTGCGTCTACCGACAAAAAATGGATGGGGTCTCTAGGCGGCGAGGCTATTAAAACTTTCATCAAAGTGAGCAGCAATCAAATCGATGATAAACGCCGGCGTTTGTTCTCGTAAACCCGCGCAGTCCCCCCGGTCACAAGTGTTTTTCATCAGTTTTTCTCAATTTAAAATTCCTCGGTCTGCAGTTGTAGAACGAAATGGCAAAAAATTGAAGGAAAAGACAGTCAAATGCAGGATCGCATGTGAGATCCAGTGATAACATTTTGGAGTAACAAGAGAGATACTCACGTCAAGTCGCAGGTGAGCACATCCACGTATTAAAATGAAAATGAAAATGATATGGAGGTTTGCCAACAGCTGTTGCAATTTGGCCACCCTTGCCAATATAGAAATTGATAGGTTTGGTCTTGTTTGGGAACTGACCACGACAGGAAATGGTAAGGAGATAAGAGAAAAGTCACCGTAAATGGGATGATAGAGAACAAATGCGTCTGTCATTAATTAAAACATTTGCTGAAATACTTATCAGTTGGGTTTCTCTCTTCAGTGATATTGCAAAATCTTTTTACATGGTAATGTGCTGGTTTTGAAACGATCTCCTTTGATTTGTTATCTTTTTTGTCAACTTTTCATTTTTCGTAAGGGGCTGGGACAATTGTATTTTTCGCATCTCTTGGTTTCAAGAGGGTTGGAAAGACAAACAAATCATTTTTTTCTTAAATTAAACACTGTGAAAGCGAAAACCACATAGTTGTTTTGTGCAAATCTGTCACTGGAAAATTATTAAAATAATTCTTACGCTTATTGGACCTGTCACGCCCCCGAAACATACGACACATCTCTAATTAATCTCAATACGTTTGAATGAAAACATGATTTCAGGGTTTTAATTAGTACAAGTATGCTGTTTGAATAAAAGATATATATATATATTTATATTTATATTTACGTTAAAACAAAAAAAAGAGATGAGAAAAAAATTGAGTCACATTTGTTGAAACAAAAGTTGTTGATTTTTTATCTTAGGCGAGATCATGATTTATTGAGTAGGTTATAGAGTTAAAAATTTGAACTTCCTATTTTCGATTCAATAACTTTTTGGAGAATGTTCCGATTCGAATGAAAAAGGATTCTGCTTGCAAGGAAGAAGAATGAGAAAAACGGAACTAAAAGATAATTGAATCGCAATAATATGTTTTGGCTGCAAATTGTCCGCAGCTAAATTGTTCTGGTTTCAGGTTAACAATTGCTAGATGACGAATGATTTACACAATTTTTTTGCAGCGGAATTCGGCATAATGGATATAATTGAACTAGTTTCTGTTCAATAAAAATTGCTCTGGTTCTCAGTTTGTGATATTAATTTTCCAGGTGTACATAATGAGATTTTTATATTTGTTTTCTTATTAACGATAGTTTACATTCTTGAATGTTCGTTGACCAAATTTGTAATAGCTGTCGCGTGTTGAATTAAGCTCACACAAGACATGCTCAATAAAGCTTCGCCGCGGGGGATTTACATAATACGAAAATATAAAATATGAATTTTGAAACCAAACTAAAAATATCAAAAAATTAATCTTCTGAACGCTAAAAAAAAACAAAATTTCGCATTGAAAATACCTTAAATAGTTTTGGATTACCATAGAGTTAACAGAAAAAAGTGACTAAATAAAGACGAATTTCTTTGTAAGCACTTGCTAGTACATTCCTCAAGCATTTTTTTTTAATTTCAAAAAGCGGAAATGTTAATTCAAATGCAAGAAACGTGCATTATTTTAAAAAACGAATATTAGGAATTAAGGAATATTTCTAAACAAATGAACAACAGTTAAAAAGAAGAAGAAATATCAGGCAACACCAATAAATTCAACTCGATCCGCCATATGTTTGGGCCGTATTTTTCACATTTTGCACATGGTTCAATTCAATGTGTAAAGTTGAATTCGAAAAATTTCATACTGTATCTGCGATAAACAAGAGTTTAATTGAGACGTAAATATATTACGTGTCGTATTGAAACAATTAAAACGCGGCAGCAAAAAGAACAACGACCAAATTTTCTTCAAAGCGCTAAATATTCTTAAACTTCTAAAGTTTTACAGATTGGTATAAAATATGCTGCATGATGCATAAATGCGGATAAAAATTTAATAATAAGGAAGATTCTGTACATGCTCAATGAAAAAAAAGAGAACGACATATTGAGGGAATTTAATTGTTAGTCAAGTTCTCTCAGTGGTGTCGTTAAAATAGTCTGCATTTCTCTGATTTCAAATCGCCAGTACTTTGTTTCGTTTTCTCCCACTGATTAGATGTTTGTTGTGTGTGGGAGATCATGGTGTCATGAAAACGGGGTCCGACGCCCGAATGATATTTTCGAGTCAGTTGTGATCGCCGTTCTGATTTTTGAAGTTTAGCAACCGACACTTTTATAATAGATGATTCGGTGTTTGTTGGTTTTCGATTTAAATTTATACAAAAAATATTAAAAAAAAAACACGCACCCATAATTTTGAATTTTTATTAATTTGTTTTTTTGAAATAAAGAATTAAAAAATATGCATTTTTAATTTAATATTCTCATGGACCATTATTTGCTATTGTCACATCATTCAAATGTTCAAATATATACGACTATGGTAATTAATATTATACATTCACTCACTCCTGGCGAAATTTATGAAAATTTTATACAGTTAGAACAACTTCGTAATGTTTTAATTAACAAGTGTATAGATTCTTCTTTTAATGAATTCGTTTTTTTCCAATGTCTCTTAAAACTCAGAATTTTCGAATTATTATGCTCTGGTTCAATGCCTTCAACAATAATAAAACAATCCTTATAGACGAAATCTACGAAATTCTAAAATAATGTTGTAATACTTTTGAGTATTTTCATGTTAACAGGACGTCCGATGAGTTTTTTGAAAGGAATAGGTGGAAAATAATGCTCAATCGAATGAAGGTTAAAACAAAAAAAAGAGCGTAAGAAGAACGGACGGAGAAGACAAGAAAATGCCGCGGAAATGTCCTCTCAACCATCGGGGGTCTATTTTAAATGGTATTCAATCTTCATCTCACTTTATGCAAATTCACACAATGGTTTACCCCCCCCCCACGCAACCACCACTTTCGAAATTTCCACTAACCTAATGGCGAATGATCGTGATTTGCGACGAATATCAACACAGATCTGCCCGCAAAACTCAGGGTATTTCGAGACAGCGCCAAGTTTGAGCGTATGTTCCAGCTTCATCCGATTCACAAAATTCTTGCGCGGAATCGACACTTTGCCAACGGGTCGAGCTACTTTACCGTCTGAAAAATATCGAAGTTTTAATATTTATTTTTAACAGAGATTTTTGTAGAATTTTCAAAAATAATTCTTTAAAGTTAAATTTAAAAAAAGCAATGTGTTCAACAAAATGTTTTAATTAATGCATCTAGAATAATAATGCTCAAGCATCTTAATTCTTTGATTTTGATCACTTTATAACTGAAATCGACTATTCAAAGCATATGTGTTTATTGTTGACGGATAATCTTCTACTAATAAACTGTTGCTTCCCAAACGAATTGCAAACGAACCCTCAAGAAATATAATATGAAGATGCGAAAACGACTCCATGGTTTCGATGTTGAATTCGTGGAAGAGAGGAGTGCTAAAAAAGAGAATTACAGTGGCTTGTTGAATGAATTTATCTTCATGGTTCATTCTCGATTTGAACATTTGGTATTTATTTTATTGTCCACATGTTTTGTAAATTATTTGTGATTAATGATGCAGCCGCAGCTTTTTGCGATTCTTTTCTGAATGAAAGAACCCAACATGCCAATCAATTTTCTCCAGAGTAATTGATAACAATGATATGTTGAACGTTCCCACGATACACCCACGCAATGATAACGGCCATTGTTAAACAAATATGCGTATTATTTTTATATTGAAATTGATATAAGGGATGTTATCCATAAAATATTATCAATTTTCAGTAATATTTTTTCAAGCAGCATTTAAATGCAAAAAGAAATAACTAGAAATGACATCGAAAAATGGAAACGTGCATATTTGTTTTTCAAAAAGAAAATATCATCACGGAACTAATAATCGTTTTTTTGTAAAGGTACATATTTGGAGATTGAGACCAACCTCTCGATTTTAATATTTGCCGAACGGTGGACATCAGTGGTATCTAATTTCGCGGTGACACACAGCGATTTCTTCAATTTCTTAACTAAATTAAGGTTCGAGATCTGAACAGTAATAATTTCAACTGAACGGTTTTCCAACGCGGCTTGTGGTTCGCTCATATACAACTGAATATTGAAAATAAAAAAGTAGCATTAGCTTAATTGGCTTACGTCTATGCTCTGTGTGATACTGGAACAACTTTCCTCTGGAACTGTTGGTATCATAGTCCCTGACATTTTCTTTCGTTTCTCTATCTGTTGTCCGCGTTTTGGCTGGAAATTGGATGTATTAGAATTTGGAGAGACCTAGTAGCCTAACTCTCGGTGGCGGTTTCGGAGATTCTTGTGATGTATAAGAAGTCTCGGCAAGTCCGTCAGTTGGCCTGAAACTAAAAATTATAAAACATGAAACATTCGGCATGAAACCTCAACTGCAAATTACTAACCGCCGGCAGCGCCGACGCAGAGGACGTGGGTTCGTTGGAAGACAATTCCGACGAAACGCTGATCTGAAACGATTAGGATTTGCACAGAAGATATATATCCATTTTCCCAAAACATACTTCGCTTGTTCCTTCATTTGACGGCGAAGGCGTTGATTGAAACGTATTAATTTTTGTTTCGTGCAAGCGCATTTCAGGAGCCGATCGTGAATTCTTCACATAGATCTTAAAACATTAAAAAAATTAATATTTGAAATGACACCGCTCAAACTAATGCGAAAAACTTAAAGGTAAGATTATCTGCGAAAAATACTAGTATACTCGATAATGTTATTCATTATGAATAAGTATAAAGTGCAAAAAAGGTCGGAGAGGTTATGAGACTTGGAAGAGAATTTTTAATTTATGAATTTTCTCGATAATAAGACTTGTTTTAAAAAATGAGTATTTCATGGAAATCACGATTGTCACATGTATTTGAATTCAATAATATATTGCATACAAAAATTTCAGGTTCCCTAACTTTTGAAGTGAAATGGCATGTCTATAGCGTATTTCTTTAATTTGGACGTCTCTCAAGTTTATTATGTTCGAGGACAAGTCGTTAAATGAATAAAATGCAAATTAGTTTTTCTACCCAATTTTTATGGATGAAGCGTTCTATTTTATAATTTTAATCAAAATAAAATGGATTCAAGTCGAAAAGATAATTGATCGATAATCTATATCGATTTCAAATGAATATTTCTGTTTTCCTAATCATTTTTATTGATTTTGTTCAATACAAAAAAAATACCTTTTCAACCGGTGTGCACATTAATGAATGCTGGACGGGCGCCTCGTTCATGTCGAAGCATGAGTTGTCGATGGAAAAATGCGACAGCGGTCTTCTGAATGACGCTAGCGATGAAGAAAAAAGACTCGTCGATCTTGAATCATTGCTTCGAGCGCGTTCATGACCGATACTTGACGATTGGAATTCGTGTAACGTTGCGTTCTGGAAAAAAAAACGTTGAAGGTAGCAAAATTGCTGTATATCAATTTCGGCGAGACTAACGCTAGAAATTCGATGCCTTGTTCGACGATTTGAAGTAGTTCTCAATGATAGCCCACTATCCGCCGTATTGAATAACGTGTCAGGTTCAGTGCGATATAATTCATTATATCGACGTCCGATTTCATCATCCGAGCTGTATTCCGTATCTATCAACATTGACGCGTGATTGCGGTCCATCTGCTTCTCTTCAGCATCTCGAACGGCTTCCTCAACTTCCTCCAAAACTCCTTCCTCCGAAGCTTTAGTCAAATCGCCCGGCAAAGTCTCGCACTTTCGAAGAATCGCACTTGTCGAATCCAAAAGAGCTGTATCGAACAACGTTTGGTCGATATTCATTCCGCTTCCCAGTGATGTTGACATCAGCGCATTTTCGGCCAATTCGTGAAGCTCTTCAAGACGTTTGTCGATCTCCTCCAAATTGGGAGGCTTGCGAGGGGAGCTCATTGAGTTGGCTGGTGAAATTGGGCCCCTCTCATTCTCAAGACCAGATCTTGACACCAAGTTTTTCGTTGATGTTTTGCTTGAAGTCGATTCACTGCCATTATTGCAGTTGGGTTGGACACCATTGGTGTTGACGTCGTCTGCAGTGGATCGCTTCATTTCATCATTACTGAAAAACAAAGAATTTGATATAGTCATAACCTAACGAATAAATAGATTAGAAAAGGTATACAGATACGAGACAGACACGAATTCTACGATCATCAGCCACATAAAGGCCAAATAATTAAACAATTTTGCAATACATATACACACTTTGGAAGCTGATTTATGTCTTCTACAGTTGCCCGAACCCATTATTTTTCATTGGAATGCAACAAAAACGCTGACGCCCATACGACAAAAATTGGGCGGCTGCTTAATGAATTATGTCCTTCTGGTTGTTCTACATACTGTCTGATGCGTTAATGAAATTAGCGAATCAAATGAAAGCAAATAATAAGGAAAAAATGAACGATGCAAAACTAAATAATAAAGGAACGATGTAAAACTGTTTAATAAAAAATTTGCAACTAATTCCCGGTTTACGCGTTTGAACGTTTCAAAAAAATTGCAAAATTTGTGTTCGCTATTTCGATGTTATCTCAAAAAAATATTCACGGGAGCGCCGCGAAATTCGTCGCTTTTTGTTAATGACACACTTACACAAATTTATGTGAGGTTATTTGAAAAAGAAAACGTTTTACGAGAATGTGATAACAAAATTCCTTATGAAAACAATAAGGAACTCGGGATTGCGTGATAGTGATAGAAGAAAGATTATACGTAAATGGAAGTTGTGCGTTTTCCTTCATTGTAGTTCTATCATCTTTCTATTTGCAGCTTGTCTTTTTTTTATCACTTGCCTTGACAGTCTCCTCTTCGCTTCTTACAGTCCATTTTCAAGTGGTTTCTCTGTGTTTCGCTCTATTCAATACTATCATCATCTATCATCTCGCAATCATCATTACAATTGAGTTTGCCCAAATTGTTTTGTCTTCTCATTTTCCCTGATTCTTTTCGATATGTTTTGAGTGGCCCCCAAGCCATAGGTCTAGCCTACTACTGACCTTGAATTTCATTCCGCCATATATAATGTTTCTCAACGATTCCATTTAAATCAATCACATAAATGGCGACAATTGGGCAACTACTCTACTTTGACCCACTCTAGAAATCAAGCAATTAGTAATGAACCAAAAGTCGGACCTCTTATCAAATGAGAAAAAAAAACTGATATTTCTCTAAACACTAATTTATTTCCGCACTGACCGCTGATAGCCTCTCCCCACTGGCTTCTTTGTTGATAATGGGTAACTATATGTGTACATCGAAAAACGTTGCGATAGACAATACGGAATTAGAAGACGCGCCATTAAAAGAGAGAAATATGAGTACCTATATTTACGGATAATTTATGTGTTTTTTTTTGAAACGAATATCAAGACTATCAGAATCAATATCGCCGAATGACCAAAACATGGATTGATACTGATAACCAGCTAGGTTTGGTCTGCCTTGACAATGATTTGTTGGATTGAACGTGTGTCAGTGGGGAAAAGTTTTTGATAAATCGAGATCTTCTTTATGTATGGAATGCAAAAACATTATTCGATTTAAAAAAGTATGCGGACGATTAACATAATGATGTAACCTACATAACTTACATCGCGCTAGCTTCCACTTACTGGTGATCGAGAATCACGAATGCTGGACTGCCTTCGATCTTGAGTAGAACAATTTTAAAGAAAATCAATCAAGGCAAAAACGCATCAACATGTGGGTGGTCATTTAAAGCGTTGATGAGTGATTGGCAGTTGTGTTTGGCAATCATAGTTAAACATGCAATAAGAGGTAACGAAAAGAAAGAATAATGCGGAATGAGCCATGATAAAAACAATTTATTGCTGGGAAAAACGAAAAAAATTTGTGCTCAATTTGCAAAAAAAATTATATTGATCAAAGAGAGTTCTAAAAAAACAATAACTTAGCAGAATCAGTAAGTCATTGGGGCAGCAAATATGAATTATAAAAAGTAAACAACTCCTAAATGATGTATGCAGCAGGGTTGAAAAATAAATTTCGGAAAAAATTTTCGAATGTTTATATTTTTTCAAATATTTTAATAATAAAATAGAAAGCAATTACGTATTTTAAAATGTTTAAATCGTTCTTTACGAAATGCAAACGTTTCATACAAATCGATTGTGGTTCTACTTAGCTAAAGAAGAAATAAAGAAAACTATTCATATTTATGAAGAAAAAGGGCAATATATGATGGACTATTGTATCCACCTCAAACTAACATAAGTACGACCGTTTTGCTTTCTAAAATGTTAAAAAAAATTCGAAAAGAAAAAATGCACAATTAGTTCGACCGCGTCCGCACGGGTTATATATAACTGTTTTTTTTTCACCGCGTGTTTGAATAAGGGGGCAAAATGGGTTCGTTTTTTCACCTCCGAAAAATCAGATTGCGTGTGTTGTAATTTCAGGGGTAAGTGGATTAATTGTTGAGTTGTAGAATTGACACATTTGTTAAAGCCTATGGTTGAAAAAATAAATGGAGGAATAGAAAAAAAAGATAAATATATTCGAAAATAAAAGAAAATGTTAAATTTATTTTTTAATAGATAAAATAACAAATAAAGCATATATATAAATATATATTTTTGTAAATTTTCACTGAGAAATTTTTCTGCTACAGAGGATCCGTTTTAGCTAATACAGCTTTCTTGCAATAAGGCAAAAGCTATGTATGTAGATGCTTTGTAAACGATGTCGAGTTATTTTACAAAAATGGGAGTTAAGACAACATAAAAGAAAAAAAACAACAAAAAATTTTTTAAACATTTTATGACAATAAAGTTCTTTTTTGAAAAAAGCAAACAAAAAGATCTGAACATGTGTTAAATTGGGGTGTTGAAAAAATTGCAAATCGGTTGATTTTTTAAAATAATTTGTTTAGCGTAATTCGATGTTTTAACGCAATTCCTTGTAAAACGAAGGATATTCAAACAAAACCAAACGAAAGTCTAGTCTCATGAGTTGTCTAAGAGCATGCCTGGTGGGAAAAAAACTTGAAAGAAACAGAATAGAAAAAACATGGAAAACCTAACAAAACATGAACATGTGAAACAGTAGTCTTGTGGCATAAATAGCTGCAATCAGGCCAAAGTTCTTAGAACATTTTTTTTCAAATGTTTCAGCTGTTTTGACGCAGAATTTAAACACGATGGGGGTTTATGGCAAGTGATCCAATTGCTCGCAACTTTGTTCTGATTTATGTCTTTTACATTAGATATCACAAATCACATTTGCTTCGATGAAATTCAAAACTTTCACGCAAAAAATATTCGAATTGTGTGCGTGTTTGCGTGTGTCAATACAAACTGAATACAAAAACGTCATTTGTATTTTCTTTTACGTTTGAATCGTTTCCAACTGAAAAGAAGCGACCACACCCCAAAACGCTGTACAAATTGATTTTTTTTTCGAATGAAAAAAGGTGCCACAAACAAATGGCACAAATTGAAACAATTATAACCGTAACTAATGAAAAATGACTGTTTTCGAATATTAATGCGTGAATAATCAGGATATGATTTATTGGAATATCTCATTTCATGCGTATTACACTCACTTTAGATGTCGTTACTGAAAAGTCGGTGAAGAGGCAAGAAATGCTAATTATGATACGTATCCTTCAAGGTTAAGACGAATGGATTACGTGAGATAGTCTTTGCGGAGCCGCCACGAAGTCAATCAACCATGGGAATCTTGGAAAAATGGGGTAATGGGGGGGGGGTGGGGGTTCAAATTGGGAGACAATGGCATTTTGCGACAAGAACTTTGATGTTCGAATTTATAATCGAACAGATTTTCAAAAAAAAAACAATTTCTCAGATTATCTAATTTTAATTAATCAATATTTGAAGATTGCTCAAACTTTGAATCGCGTTTCTTTAATATTTAGTTGATGCTTGAATAACAAACCGGAACCTTGATTTAAATTTAAAAAGAATTACAGCATTTCCCATTATAATCTCTCAATTTATATTCAATAATTCCTTTGATGTCCTGCGAAAAGGCCTAATCGCCGCAAAATCGATAATTTTTATTGTTCTCCTCTATTGTGTTTACGAATTGTCCTTGACTTTATCGTAGAACACGTCTTATTAACGCTAACGACGCGCCACCTGTACAGATGCCCTCTTTTTATTTATTGTGATATTTTCGCCATTTGTTGTTATTTTAGCTGTCTCGATCGAATTTCATTGCTCTTTTTGTTTTATTTTCAGAAAGCAATAATGGACGAAGAAAATATTCGTCTTCGTGCGACACTTCGTCGATCGTACTTTCCTGAAAGAGAAACACGCGATTATGGTTCCGCAGCAAATTTTGCAGCTACTATGAGAAACTACGTGGGAAACTCTGATTATTGGTTTTATTCACATATTATCATTTAGATAAATGAAGTGCGCAAATGGGAGAGTTATACAATGAGATTTCATCAAGTGCCAACACAAACAGTAATTGTGCCAGTATGGACCTAACCAAATTATTGATTAGCAGGCAACAAGACCACCGCTGTCACGTCAAGATCCTCTACATCCCCCGTCATTTCAAAGAAATATAAATAATAATAATAATGGATTTGGGCAATTTATTCCAACTATCGATCAACTCAGAGCCCATCCATCTCCGGAAGTGGCGTCGTTCTATAGGCCGTTTGAGTAAGATTTTTCTCGGAAAGAATTCCACAAAAACAAACATATCTTTCAATTTAAACAGTATATAATATGAGCAAAATATTTTAATTTGATTTTTTATATTTTTTCCAGCAATTATTTTCATTAGTGATAATAAATTGAACTTCGCAGAAAATCCAAGTCATAGCTAGAAATTCTATTAACTAAAACTCAATTTTGCTCATGTTTCTATGATCAGTCATTGCATAATGTAGGGATTTCTCTGGTATCTGAAAATGTTTAAATTGTTAACCTAACTCACATATTCTATATTCTGATATTCAAGAAAAAAAACGTCCGAAACTAAACTTGACGAATCTGTGAAAATTATATGCGAAAGTTAAACAATTCATTAGAAAAACCTAGGTAAAAAATGTATTAACATTTCAGGGCTGCATCTTACTTCCGCCGAATTTCAGCCGAAATTATCGACTTCACTATCTGTATATTCCTCAAGCTGTTCGTAGTTCTCGCATTGATCGAACTCGACCTTATGTATTTTTGAAAAGTTGGAAAAAATGAACTATGTGTAAATTTTCAGAGATATTGAACCTTACCACAAAGTGATTGACGAAGATCACGATATTGTTGAGTTCATCTTGATGACTCAAGCGCTACTTCCAATCGAAGTCTTCTGCAAAATGCTCTGTGCAGTCCTTGAAGTAAACATTTAATTGAAAATGTTTCTAAATGTCGATTATTGAAGGCTCTCGTGATGGCAGTCAATATCGGACCATGTAAAAAAGGACAAACTCCAGGAAAATGGATTGTTGGAATTCGAGTCATTAGTGCGGAGAACATTATTGATGCGACCGCCACAAGCAATCGATACCTGATATATGAGGCGAAGGACATCACTCTAAGACAGTTTGTCTGGAATTGAAGACAAAATATATGAAAATTATTACAGATCCTTCACACGAGCGTTGATGAAGAATATGATAATGAACAGTTTATTCCCACTAAGCACATTGGCTTTCAATCTCAACTCGAGCCGTTCATTTTACGACAGCTTGATTAAAACCGTTGTCGTTGCCAGTTAACTGTTTTTATTTTATTTTAATTGTAAATACCCTTTCCCTGAAACGAATGCAATTTTATTAGTGTGCATGAAGCAATTTTAAGAGGTTGGCTTCACTATTTTTTTGGACTAATCTTTGTCAAATACAAACGGATTGTTCCAGATGCTGTATTTAGTAAATTAAGCAATAAGATACATGTATTTTTTATAATGCAATAATCCTATAAACTGTCGAACAATAATAATCAGTCTTCTTTTGTATACCCCGCTTGCTGTTTTAGCGTAATTGTTCAGTTCCCACACCATATACATATTTACGGTTGTTTTCGTAATTACTACTAACTTATTTCGATTATATACCGCATGTTGCGAAATTCCTCGTTTCCATACTATTTGTTACATATGCATACAGATTATTATTTTTATTTATGAAGGTGTAGCGATCATATTTCAAAAATACGTAAGATTCTCGTTAGTTTTTTACACGTTGTGAATGTATGTACTAAGAGTCAGATTTCCAGAAAAGACAGCCAAAATGGCATTGTGTGTCTCACGATGGGATTTAAGAAAAAAATTCTAATTAGTAACAAAACATTTAAATCCAAATAATCATGGGAATAAACGGAAAAAAGTATTTACTGAATATATTTAATTGAAATGTCATGTAATGATCTTATAAGTATGTCAATGCCCGCAAATTTTCGAGCATTGGAAATCGATCTGACGCTACTATTCGTCCGAATTAACGTCTATGTGGAATCCTTCAAATTGATTAATAGAAATCCCCTTCTCAAAGAAACCGAGAAACATGTATTGTTGAAAAAACTATTTCTAGAGGTTATAAAATATAATGTATGCTTTGTGATACGAACGCGTAAGCACTCAATCGTTCCGTTCTACTTTTCAACTACAAAGTTTTGTAATGAAGAGTAGACACAATCGCTTCAATTTCATTTTTTTGCTTGTAAATAGACCACAGCAACATGTAAGTATTCATAATCTTGGCAATTTATATTTTTTACTAATATAACATGTAGAAATATTCGCAAACTAAGGACATTGCACAAATATGGAAGATTGAATAAAGCGGTTGAAATGGTTGCGTTTGGGAAACGTTTTATTGTTAACTATTCGTGGATGATTAGTTATTTCCTTCCGACATCGCCAAGTCTGTCCAAAGTACCGAAGTTCTTCAGGATGTGATTCACAACTTCAGCATTGTTTCGTTTTTGTAACGGCAACGGGGCGAACTGCAAAAAAATGATATTCGATTGTATTCAACGCATTGTTAACTTGTCTCGATTGGTAGAATCGATACAATGCGTGTGGTGCATACGCCGGCAATCCATTACTGTATCTCATCTGAAAGCATTTTATTACGATAATCACTAGTTCTGCAACGGTAATACCTGTTGGCGTGGGCTGGCTTCCACGTGGAAGTTGAGGCAAAGAATCGCCAAGAAAACAACAAGAATGTTGACCGCAAATCGAGACTGCATCTGAAATTTGAAAGGGCTTGAATTGAGTGGGACGCTAGAGAAAAGAGGGCGGGATGTTTTTCGAAGAATTAAATGAATGACTAACATTCGTCAAAAAAAGACAAAGAATTGAAATGTACTAATGAGCAGTCGAAAAAAAATGAATATGGCAACAAACGAAAGAAAGTTTTTTTTTAAACTTGTTTTATACAACATGAGTTGGAAATATGAGCGAGTGACAAGCTGAAAGCTCTCGAATGAATGAAAATGCGCCATCGAATATTTTCGGCGGCTCAAAACGATGCTAATTATCCGAATATCTTCGACGGGGAACCCCGATTTGAAAACAGATCTCATTTTCGAGCATAATTTGGCTAGTTGTGAATCATCAGAATAAAACATCGTTGTTGTTAATTGAGATGAATTTTTCAAGGAAAATATCAAAACCCGCTCTCGAAAGAAGCAACATTTTGAAACTTTTTACGTGAAGAATACTAAAAAGTGACGAATGAATTGTGATAATTAAGTTGGTAATTCCCAAGAAATTCAAATTGAAGAATAACAATGCTCGAAAACAATATTTTGAAAATGATTGTTTTGGAAAATAAGCCTAATGAATTATATTCAAATTGAATACAAATATAAACTTGGGACTGAAAAATAGGCAAATTTTAACAATATTTGTAAAAAAATGACCGGACCGCTTCAGAATAGTAAAGAAGTGAAGAAATGAAACGAGATATTCCATAAACAGTGCTAGTCACGAAAATTATTTTGGAATTCTATATTTGTTATACCGCGTTGAAATGTAAACGTTTGGTTGAAAAATGTTGCAGTTTTAAAACAAAAATTTAAAATATTCGAAATGTGACTTACTGGGGTATACTTTATTGCGCCCTTACGCTAATAAAAAATCATTCTCCAAAAATGGCTGGTACATCTTTGTCATATCGAAGTGAAGTACTGTACTTCTCACAAATAGACCAAAATAAGCAAGTGAGTGTCATAAGTTTATAATAATGCGAAAGATCACAATTGTTCGAAATACTACTAGAATTAAGCTCTATTATTTTGCCAATTTTTTTACCCACATTATCGGAATTTCTAATATTCTTCGATCTACTTCTGTGCACGTCTTAAGCTTTCAATATCAAGCTTTTAATTTTTATTGCAGGGTAGACAAAAAAATAACAATGTTTGTGAACCTTCGGCAACTAATAATAATAATAATGTACATTTGTATGTTTAATCAATTGATATAAAATGTTAATAATTTCTTGATTAAAAATTATACATATATTATATTTCTTTAATCTTGACTTGATTTCTCACGGATGCAGTTTACATTAGATCGTACATGGCAGAAGCTTTTTTATATTTCAATCCATTTACTAACTACCACTTGCCTTTGGTGTCTTATTCAACCGCACGATGGCAGCAGTTATCGCAAACATGGAAAAAAACTTTGGCGACGATCCTGTTTCCGTTATTTACTTACAATTGAAATGAGTTGATTCACAGGAATTCTGCTGTGAATCTTCTGTGCTACATTTTGTTCAATCTCGCCCTGGTTTCAATTTATTTTCAAGTTTTCTTTTACATATTACGTTCTTTTAAACTATTCTGTTTTTTTTTTCTGATTACATACCTGTAAGGTTACTGCGAGAATTCAATTTATCTTTCTTTAACGTCCCAATAAATCGGAGTATTCGTGGAAATATAATAGTAATATATGTATTTAAGAAAATATGCGTATTATAAAATAGTTATGTGAGTGACGTTTTGTTTTCAGCTAGCCTGAAAATTTGCAGCATCCCATGTTCTAAAAATTTTGGATTAATTAAAAATCATCACTTGTCATCATTTGTGACAAGCACAATTCATTTTTATTAAGTTTGTGTGCACTATAAACACGATCGTTAATAATTCTGAAATATCAATTTACAGACATTTGAACTTCTTTGCTATTCAATTTGAATTGATTCAAAATACGAAGGATTCGGGGTTTTGTGTGATATTCGTCATTTTCCTACTCATCATGCCAAAAACGTCTTCTTGTGTTTAGTTTTGCGTCACTCGTTGTTAAATTAGCCAAATTATTGGTCGTTAGTTATCCAAGCTTCTTCGCAACATCTCTCAACACCCACATTATGCATACAATGTCTTGTCAACTTGGCCAACGCAAAAACACAGACATCGTCAAAACCACTGCGGGGAAAGTTTCAATGTTCAATCAAATGTGCGGCCGACCGACGTCCTCCAAAATCGAACGTAGAGTCGGTTTGCGGAATTGGAAAATGAACAATTTTGGATTTGGGAAATCTAATAACAATAATAATAATATAAGCAACGGGAGATTCAATGCCAATCTAGTTTCCGATTGTTTTCAATGCCACCGAGTTTGCAGCAATTTTTCATTTCTTCCTACTTCTGAAACTATTTTTATCCTCAAAACACCATTGTCGATTTTCGTCGTCGGATGAAGATCGTTGCTGAACTTTTGAATCATCCATGACATCTTGAGAACTGGGCAACCGGTTACAAGCTGGGCCAGAAAGTGAAATGACGAGAGTTGCGCAATAAGTATTAAATTCTCTTACATCCAAATTGCCGGGAAAATTCGCAATGCATTTTATTTGAATAAGGCGAAAACATCGATGATGGGCAAAGATGTATCCAAGGAACTACATTATGCAGAAAAAATTTTATGCGACGTTAGTTTTGTACTCGATCAATGACAATGCTTTATTCAACCTTTTCGAATACTTAACTAAAACATAACTCACTGGTCTCCTGTTTAAACACTTTCAGATCATTTCGTTTCATTTATTTTTGATGGATTAGCTATTAGAGATAAAATCTCAATATTGATGACCAATCGTAAAAGAAGGTGACCGATTCAAGTTTAAGAGGGGAATTTTTACCTATTGCGAATTTCAAAGATATGATTGCTTCCATCTAAGGAACAATCACTATACATCTATGTTCTTCACAAAATTAAGTACTGTATTTTTTTGTCACATTCATTGAACGTTTCCGGAAATGTTACGTAACATCACTTCTCTTTTGTTTTATACGCATGTGTAATTAAATAAGATAATCAGTCAGCGGTAATGACAGTTACTGTGTTCCGACAGCCTAGTCGCCACTTTGATTTGCTTCTTCATTGCAATTCAATTCACACCTCCTTTGGAGGTGAAAGTCTGTCGCCAAGTGCCTCCGTCACAAACCAAATCATACATAAAGAAAGGTGGCGATTACGTGTGATATGTGTGTTGCTTTTGATTTGATGGGTGTCATGTTATGATAGCAGATATAAGCGCAGTGTCATTAATTATTTCGTTGGCATTCCGCGTGCTGCTACTAAATCATTGCCGCGCATGCCACCTAGCTTTACAAGCCGCGTTGATCGCAGTTCTCAGGAAATCTGTATCACACAACAGCGCCGTAATGGGTGGTTTTCCGTTCAAGGCCACCTGAACTTTTAGCGATCAAATACATTAGGCTTATGAAGCGCTCCAGGTAATAAGCAATACTGTATGAGGAGGTGGGAAATGTTGCAAGAAGTAATACGAATGTATGATCGGACAACAATCAAAACGTCCTCGCTTTCAATTCGGCGAACTTCCGTTTTTGCTAAAATTTCGGGAAATTGAACTTTCCGTGAGTTCATATTTTAAGTATTTTGGGTAGCTATGATCAGAAGTCAATATTCGAAATAATCCTATAAAACATATAAAAAACAAAAGTTCAAAATAAAAATAAAAAATCCTTTTTGTGCGAATACTTAATTTTATTATGGCATATGCTTTTTCAGGCATTTTTTCTTTTTCCTAAATTCTACCCATTTTCCAAATCAAGTATCCTCACTGTTCAAAAAAACTTTGTTAATTTAACTTTCATTCCTGAGAAGGTAGGCATAGAAAAAAAATAGTATGTTCACAAATAAAGTGCAATTTAAATTCTATTCATGTCTTATGAAGTACTACTTCCTCTCATTAAAAGAATCCTCATTTAGATTTTTCCGAATGTTCAGTATCCATTTGATGAGGTTCCTCTTTGCAGTCGCATTCCCTTTTACGTACAAAAAAGTTAACTATTCCTTTCATCTTTGCCGTTGACACTCTCAGATTCGAAAGATTAACAGAGACGCTATGTTTTTTTTGTCCTTCATTTCAATCCAGAACATCCATGAAACGCACGGCATGATGGATGACACAAGCTGCTGAAAACCGTCAGAATTCGCATTACAAAGTGAGAAGATATGTCGCGAGTTTTTTTTCGGTTTTTACTCGAACCGGGAAAAAACCAACACTTTCGTTTCTCACCCTGTTTATTAAACTTGAAAGTTCATCTCCATGACAAGACTTCATCATTTCTGATCAGTTTTTGATAGAGCTTCTCAATCGATCATAAAGCAGATTAAACTGCCCCTCGGTATCAGTTGGATTGTTATTTTTGACAGATTCCAAAGCAGCTAACACGTTTTTTTTCGTCAATGAAACAATTTTTCACAGCTTTCCTCTTATCAATAATGGAGACCCCTAGGCAAAATATGCCCGCGGAGATATATAGTGTTCAATTGATGAACGACAGATATTTGAAAAGCATTGAGATTACGCAATGCTTGTATTATAAGTCGGTTGTTTTCATTGCGCGGCTTTATTGTTTCGTTAATGCTTCAGGTGATCTTCTGATTTTATTAACAACGACACGAAAAAGTGTTGTGTAGGTTGGTATAGACGTTCGAATCGAATGCGTTTTTTAAGCGTGATTCATGTAAAATGCTTCAGATAGAAACATCACTTAGAAGCCACTTGTAACTGTTCACTTCGCGCTTTATAATTTCAACAATTTCATATATTCAAACAATAAAACCATCAGTTCATCTATTATCAGGTCTTGCTGTAAATTTAATTAAAATGGTTTCCTAGATAGTTTTTCCAATCTATTTATTCTCTATGCAACATGTCTATATATATCGTGAAGTATATAATTTAATAATTGGCCTTCGATCAGAAAATATTTACAAATGTTATCGGAGGATTATTTAATTATGCAACTCTAATTCACATTGGTTGAAAATGATTTAAGATTGTGGAAACCTCTCATTGGTTACTAAGTTCAGTCATTGATTCCGCTCACTGAGTTTATTCAAAAGTGCACATTGAGCAAATTCTATTCATTTTATCAGAACATTAACTTCTTCAGAAAACGGATTTTCCAATGTCTTTTTGATGATGAATTCAAAAATGCTAGAATATTCTAGCCTCACATCAAATTTCTTGAATTCCACTTGTCCTCGATGATGAACATTGCGATTACTCATCTCACTCTAGTTGTAATAATAATACTGTAGGGTCAGATGACATCACGAGGCTAGAAGCCGGTGCACATCAATGTCAGCAATTCCCATACATATGTATTTTCCGCATCTTCGCATATGCTTTTCTTTTCCAATTTCAATTACTTGTTCACGCGTCGTTTACAAGCCGTTTCGATGAAAATGACTTCCTCGGATGCCATAAATACGATTCGAATTGAGCGTACGATGATTAGAAGTAAAAAGGTGCGACGACCGGAATTCGATGCCAACTCTCCCCATTTCAGCGATCCAACCAAAAAAATGCGAGGTATAACAAGAGAAATGGCGAGATGCGCTTTCACTGGTTGCCAAATATCTGCGCTAATTATTATTGGGGAAGGATTGCGCAACGTTGCTTGGATGTTAGAGACGGCGTGAACTTTCTTGAACGAAAAACAATTAAGTAGTCATTCTTCTCCGTCGTCACCTTTTTTGGGAGGTACAAACCAGCTATTGTAGATCATAGATTTAGCTTTTCACACTTTCCGAATATAATTTGTACCCTGTCAACTTCCGCACCGCAGCTTCACGCAATCATCTTAGCTTTCACATTTATCATTGATATAATGGAATGTTCTAGCTTGCACATTATCACAAAATAGAAATCGGAACTGGTTTTTTGCTTATTGAAATCAAAAAAGTTAACTAAGGAAAGTTCACCCGATTGCTTTTTGTTTGACGATATATCATATTTAATGCCATTTATCAACACCTTTCGCTACCTTGCGAAAATGTGCATTGTAACATCGATGGGGGAGGGAGATATATCGCGTTCCATTATGTCTAGAGTTCCTCTTGTTTTTTTTTTTCGTTCTTCAGTTTAGTTCAAGATTAAAATTATTATATTAGATTTGAATATAATATCCCTAAGAAATATTATTATAAATTTAGCAATCTATACTTTGTTTCGAAATATTTTTCGCGTAATTTCAATTATATTTAAAATCTGATTTTTGTAGTGGATCTGTTCAGAAAAGGCAGATTTCATTTCTTCATAATTGCTTTCTCATTTCCACTACATTAGAACGATTGTATTCCTGCAATCGGTTGCTGAAATTCTGTTCTTTTTATTGAAATTCGACTAGCCTGCCATTACTTCCTAGTAATGGAAGAATAACACACGTAGTTTGATTTTGGAAATCGTCCAATTTTTGACGAGCGCAGCTACAGTCAACAGGATCAAGACGAAGAATATAGGACAATTGCATGACGCGAAGGCAAAAGCGACACGTCTTAATCTGCAACATAACAGGTAAGGAGCCAGCAAGCGGCGCGCCTAATCCTCTTGTGTCTTTGAAACCAATCCGTCTTCGATTTCAACCAACTCGTTTTGATGACCACCTTGGTTCAGTTTTTGCATTGTAAAAGAAACCGCTAGAGAATTCAAAACATAATATCCATGTATTCATCCATTCCAATTCCCCCTCAACATACCACATTTCTCTGATTTGTCTTCCACAGTTTTCATTTCTCCGATTAAAAGGTTATAATTACCGAAACCCCAGTGTAAGTGTAAATCACTTCACGTCATATGAACTATAATAATATGTCTTATTATTTCAATTATTATTACAATGCCGAGATCTCCATCTCATGTGGAGTTTTAAATTCAAAATAAAGATTGACGACAATCTAGAATTAATCGTTTTTTATTCGCTTGATTGATTGTTATCTTTAGATTATTTCTGCATAATTTGATTCACGCTTTCTCCATCATTATCTCAATCGGCAGAAGCGCCGACGACAGTGGACATCATCAAAAACTTATCTTTGAATAATACGCGCGTTTTCTCATAAGAGAAACAATAATGAAAACGAAAAGCGGATTGTTGCGCAATCGATCTTGATTCATGTTTCATTTTAACGGCAATCGAATTTATTTCACTTTTAAACGATATGTGTGGCCGGCTACATCCCTTCACAATTATCTCAAAGCCTAATTGAACTTAAAACCTGTCTATTTCAATTATTAAAATTTTGCGAAGTGATATCTCAAATGGAATGTTGTTCAACTTATTCCTTTTGGCGCCTTTATTTTTGCGTTTTTTTTTTCAATAAATGAAGAACTATTAATTTTGGCATCGTTAAACAATAGCTTAGAAAAATAGTGCTTGAATTGGAGAAGCCCACAAGTTTTTTACGACCTGATATTAGCAAACAGAGGAATCTCGTTCTATTTTGAAAACCATTGCTGTTTCACTAAGTTGCGGCCACCCTCCACCATATTTGGTCATTTTATTCACATTGTTGCATTATTTGTTTCATTTTTCTCTCACATTCCTTTGTTTTAATTGCGTGTGCAGTTTGAATCCAAATTGTTAGGACCTGTATCGTTTTCGGTCCCGCCTTTATTCATTCATTTCTGCCCGATCGACCATTCACTTTATATTTTTGCCAATGAACTTTCCAGTTCTCGGCTAATTCATAGTTCAAATAAATACCAAAAATTAGCCCCAGGAGGTTTAAATATCATTCAGGAAATTTGTGAATGATACTCCAACACATATATTTTCGAAAAAAAAACGTGTAACTTCCTTGTTCAATTATAACACTTCAAATTATTGTAAAACTCATTAAATGCCCCATAAAAGTTATATGACGTTCTAGATTCCATAACTCTACTAGAAATTGTTTTACTTCTAACTGTTGAATTTAAATATACCTTATTGAGAAGATTAACCATATTATTGACTTATCTTTTCATATGTTGGAGTATATTGAATGAAGCCATTATATCATAATAGGATCTTTAAAACGTCAATCTCCGAAATCGTCTATCTGTTCTCAAAATTATGCCTCAATCAAGTTTTGATATTTTGACATCACACAGTCCACTTTAGTACCTAACATATTTTTAAAAAAAGGTTATTCTTTTAAAAAAAGGTTATTCCCAGAACCACAATTTCGATATTTTTAATACGACGTTTAAGCACCTTTTAAGCGTGGGCTTCAACAATTAAATTTAAAAACAAAGAGCCAATATAAAATGGCTTTAATTCAACCTATTTCCGCCGAAGATTTCTATCACATATTTCACATGCGGTGTTCATTCTATTCTCTCCATTTTTTTTTTGGCACTATGCAATTTCCGTTATTGGTCAGGTGGATTTAAATGTTACAAAAAAATGAATTGCGGATGAATGATCATGGGTGGCTCATTATTTCCTGATATGCACGCTTCAGCCAGCAACATCATTGTAGATCTTTATGGCTTTTCAGTCATCTCGTTATTCTGTCTATATATAAAGATATCTGCCGTCATTCTTGTAATCTCTTCTAGTTTTGTTGTTATGTTCAGTTTTGTGGCCCATATTCATTGGCATCTTTTTGGGTGGGAGGCAGGAGAAAGGACTGGCGTAGACTAATTCGCTTACATAACAGTAATAGCGTCCATCTAAAGCGCTGATTAAAGCTACTGTGCGCGTGTGGTTTGGCGGAAAATAGATGATTCGACCCGTATTCAGAATGGCAGTGGGAGAACGAGTAGGCATAAAAACGCAACTAGACCAAGATAAGGTGCGCGCAGATGCTTTAATTGAATGCTTCTTTAGCTGATATCTATATTCATTTGATTCATCATAGAAGGAAGTCGAAATTGATTAGACTTCGATTCCTTGTTTTTTTTGGTTGTATTCAAAGCGCCGTTCGGATGATTTCGCTTGGACTCTTTTTTATATACCTCATTTTAGCGTCTGCGGGTTATCATTTCATCTTTGTCTCGCGAAACGCGATATGTGCTTTTGCTATTCTTAACTATCGCTTTTCTATCCATTTTGATAGCTTCCAGATTTTCGATCAGCTGTGTCGCACTTGACGCAATGCCTAACTGAAACAATTGCCATCAAATTTCTGACTTATAATTTCCGAATAGCAGCCTATAATTAGGCAAAAATACAAACCAGCTGCCGGAGAAACGGTTCTCTTTTTGACAGTGTTGTAATTGCGAGAAAATAACATAACAATAGCTTGGAATTCATCATCCCGGTTTCGATTATCTCACGAACCAATGCATTTCTATTGGTGCCGTTTTGTCATTGCCCACTTCGCACACGTTGTATTACAATTGTCATAAAATTGCTTCACAAAAATCACTATTGAATCAGTTGTAGAATGGACGTTCCAATCATCGACTTATCGACTCCCGAGACACTTGAACGCGATTTCTATGCTTGGCTAAGGGTAAGTTTCAATATTTCGATACACATTATCTATCCAACAAAAGCTTAAGAAATTGATTGCATTTATCGGGATAAAATATGTTTACTTCTCAGAACGCACATAACTTATTCAAAATTTGATATTTCATTATGATTTTTATTGCAGAGTGATCCTAGTACTACAAAAACTTTGGCTCCACAAGTGTTCACCCACACTGAAAACTATTATCAAGAAATTTCTGAGGTATAGTAATTCAAAAATTCTGTTCAATATATTTCATTTTATAGTATAATTCGTATCAGCAATATTATTCGTATACGGAATCTTCGGAAAGCGGCTCTCCTTCATCTCTATCATGCTCCTCACTTGATTATGAAGTCCCTCCGCCACCTCAGCATGAAAAAGACGTCGCGCGCAGTTCAGGTAGTGACAAGCCACAAGACGCATGTAAAATTAAATAATTTAATGGACGTCTTGAATTTATTGTTGTTTTTTATGCACTTTTTCGTTTGTCATGCCGACATGTTCGCAAACTGGATTATCTCATATATGTTATCAGGGGTTATACCGCAAAAAGGGTTTCAATTGCATGGAACATCCTTGTGTTGAACGAAAAAGGCATTTTTTTTTCTACAGGCAGAAATCAACTAGGGCGGACCTACAGCCCGGGACTTCCCTTATCAATGAACGAGCGCGAAGAAATTGTCAAGCTTTTTCAAGTTTGTCCACTTTGCATCGAATAACACCAATTAGCTAATGAGTTTCAGAATGGGTGGAAGATTTGCGATATATCAAAGAGGCTTTGTGTGACTCATAGTTGTGTGAGCAAGATTCTAAATCGGTATTCAGCTGAAATCATGAACAGAAATGAAAATGAGAATTTAGTTATCGACAAACAGGGTCAGTGAAACCAAAAGATGCAAAGGAAGGTAGAACTGAATCTCCACTAGTGCTGGCTGTAAAAGATTATAGGTTTCAAAATCAATTCGAGCTAGTTTTTGCAATAAACAAGTTTTAGAAGCCGACTGGGAATGTGCCGCCAAAGCGAGATTCGCGAGCAACTTATTCGTGATGGAATTTGCTCTCGCGAAAATGCACCGTCGCGCTCAAGCATCAATCAGTATGTGCTCTTCTTCAGTTTAAGCTCAATTTTTAAACTTATTTTTCAGTATTCTCCGTACCAAATTGGATATTAAAAGAAGAAAGAAGGGATCTTGCAATGAGTAAAATCCACGAAAAAATCGAATCTTCTCTTCGCATTTTGGTTCCTTGTTAGTTTTTGAATTGTGTGTAGCAAACTTTTGGAAAAGAAACCCTCGTTGTACTTTCATCTACCTTCACTTTATGCATATATTGAAAATATATTTACATGTCGTTCATTAGAGCTCTGAGAATTCGTCCAGACTTCATATCCGGTTAGATTATTATGTTTTCTTTTACACGCCCTCTTTCAAAATTCTATTGCAAGATCTCACCGTCATTTTGGAACCTTCAAGCTGGTACTACAACGATAAATTGCCAGCATCAATTATGTTTCATCACTACTATCTTCTCTTTTTAAATTAATAATCATCATTTACACATTGTACTGGATGAATATAAATTAGTTGTTGTCCAATTTCTTTGCTTAAATTGAAACAAAATATTACAAACTGCGGAATGTGCCTCGAAATGTGTAACTTTGAAGAAAATTGTCAAGTGTTCATTGTCAGAACCGAGTACAACAGAAACGTTTCAATTGGAAAATAAATTGATTATATGGAATGTTATTATAATTGTTCAATATATATTTCCGCTTGTTTTTCTATGACACATTAACGTTTTGCTATTTTTTATGAATGCGTTCTTTTTAGTAAGCCATGTGTTTTGCAAATGTCTATAGAAACAACATTTCTTATCCCAACTTGATCTTCACACTTTTGCAGTAGCAAAACAAGAATTTGAAAACTGAAATTCTTAATCCAACACTTTATCCGAGTGTTTGTTCTGTTACTGTAAACATTCAAGGAACGTGATTGTTTATATACATCTCATGTCTATTTGTGATATCTTATCATAATAATTCACTTTTTACAGTCTTCCAAGCAAAAATGGGCGTAATATATCACTTTAAACGGCAGTTTTGTCACATTGGTTCCTGCGATTTTCAACGACATCGAATCAAACATAAATTGCAATCCAAATCACAAGACAAAATCGCGCAATTGTAAACGTATTCCAGAAAATGGCGACTAGTGCATTGATTTTGGTCGAGATACCCGCAAGAGATAATCGAGGTCACATCCGATATATCTAATTAGGTCAGATAGAGTGATATATATGCCTCCAGGAGAGAAAACCTTTCACTTATTCAACGACATTCCCAACATTTTTACCGTTTGTAATAGTTGATTTAATTTTGCCTGATTTTCAGATTAAATATGGAGGGAGGAGCGCAAAAGCGCTCTTTGAGGTCCCTGGCCATTGCGTCGGCCACTTTGGCCACCATTTCAATGATTGCCACTGTCATCACAGTTCCTTTGGTGTACCGCCACGTTCAGCAATTGCAATCAGTGATGAACAATGAGGTTGACTTCTGCAAGGTGAGATCAATAATAAATAATCTTAATTACATCAAGTTTCTAGACCCGTTCTCGCGATATGTGGAGAGAAATGGTGACAGTTCAGTCATCAACTGGGGCGCAACCAGTCCGAATTGCTCGTCGTAGCAAGAGAGATAACTATGGAGCTCAACCAATTCAGGCGAGCCCCCCATCTTCAATGGCTGGATCATGCTGTACTTGTCAAGTTGGACCACCAGGACCACCAGGACCTCCAGGAAGAGACGGACGACCCGGAGCCCCTGGACGTCCAGGAAATCCAGGACCACCCGGACGCGATGGTGCTCTTCTTCCAGGACCACCACCAAAACCACCATGCCAGAAATGTCCACCAGGACCCCCAGGACCAGCTGGTTGGGACATGAAATCATGATTTCTTATCATACGTACATCATTTCAGGGCCACCAGGACCAAAGGGACTTCCAGGGCCTCAAGGAGATCCAGGAAATCCTGGACAAGACGGAGTTCCAGGACTTCCAGGACCGCCAGGACCACCAGGACCACAGGGAGCTCCAGGAGTTCCAGGAGAAAAGGGGCCATCAGGAGAGCCAGGAAAAGTAATCAATGGAGCACCACCAGGCCCGCCAGGACCACCAGGACCACCAGGACCACAAGGACCACCGGGACCACCAGGAAAGGATGGACAGCCTGGAAAGGCAGGACCACCTGGATTGCCAGGAGATCCAGGAGAGAAGGGAGCCGATGGTTTACCAGGACCACACGGAGGAACTGGACCACGTGGACCACCAGGACAGCCAGGATCATGCGATCATTGTCCACCACCACGAACTGGACCAGGATATGCCCGACGTTAAATTCAACAAACTTAGTCATCGATATTTTTTCATCAGTATAAAGTGTCCATAGCCTATCATTTAGCAGCAAAGATCATATATTTTGAGTGGCAGTTGAAAAAACGATATGTGTGCGAGTAAAAATTTGTAAAATTCCTCTCAAGACACATATAACTCTCCGCGATGTGTCGAACGGTTGCAGAATAAACATTGACTAGTGACACACCTCGGACACCATTTTGCTTATTTGAGCTATCAATCACAGTAGTCGTATCGAGAACGCCTCAGAACGCAAAGTTTCTCACTATTATACCTTGCGTTTTTTTATGTTCATGCTTTTGTTAGCAGCTTGCACGCATTTCATCAAAAAAAGAAAATCGCATTTATCTCTATTGTGCATATATTCTATATTTACGCACTTCAATGGAGAATGCGTTATAACAATGTGAAACATCAGTGAAATTATTCATTCTGTTTTACGTCATGGTATATTCAATGAACGTGCTACGCAATAAAATTGAAAATATGCAAATTGTCGAATGTTTACCTACGTAACTATGAGTATTCACTAAAATACCATGTAATTTTTTAACTGATAAGCGAATTGTTTAAAAATATGGCCCATTACAGAAATTATCGCGTTTGCACTTTTTTTGTGATTTGTAAACGATGCTTCTGTTTCAATATAAACATTTCGTGACACTACCAAAATGTAAACGAAGCATTAAAAGTTTTAGGCAGCCCCAGAATTCTTATATTAATTGTTTTTATTGCTTTCGCAATAATTGCCAATTTTTTTTCTATTTGTGCTCATTTCTATAGAAATTTCTAAACTGTATTGTTACTTCTTACTTACTTACTTGCGCATATTTAAATTTTTAAGACAAATAAATTATTCTGCATTTAACGATACTATGTATTATTACGAAGATTTATTTTGTTTTATTGACTTTATTTGTTCCAAATATATGATAATCTTATTATTAATAATGTGAAATGATTTGTTTCGAATTTCTACATACTAAAAAATTTCTATCATCAATACTTATTTGAAATTTTTTTTAAACATTTCGTATACACTCTATCATTTTCATTTCAAACCATGTGAAATTCACGAAATTTTTATTGTGACATAATCTATCCAACATTTTGACATTATCAATGAAATATCATCATAGAAATTGATTTTTAAAGATTCTCGTTATTGTTGGCCTCCTAGTTTATTTTGCATATGAATAGTGTATGCATGTGCCTGTGTGTTCGCGACAAAACTCGCCGGCAAAATATTATAAATGGCGCGTCGTGTGCAATTCTCCAAAGAGTAGCATCTGTTCACGAAAATTTGCATTTTGACGCGTATGCCGGATTAGTCATTTTCTACAACAACTGTATGCCCCCTTGCGTTGAGTGTTTCTTGATCGCCAATTATATTCCGGTGCCACTGAATTTAATTGGCCCTGTATACATAATGAGAAAATGAGTGTCTCGTTTATATCCAGGAATTAACTACTCATTATCTAGGAAAAAACAACTGCTAAGCATATGCCCTCATTTTCAAACATCTCTTCTTGTATGCTTATACCAAAATTATGACAAGAAATTATTGTTGTCTTATAAATCTATAAATAATATCAAGATAATCCCTTTTATTGTTCCTGGCTTTTCATATTATATTATTTTACAGAAATATTCTTAAAATATTATTTTGTTCAATTATTATAACAGATTAGCAACATACTATCAGCTTAATGTATGAAAAAAAAAACTATTTCATGACGAAAATTTATTGAATCATTATGACATTTGCTTCTAGAATTATGCAATAATAGTAATAATAACAATAATAATAATAAGGATTGACGTTGCCATGGACCAACATCTAGCATTTTCTGCGTTATTTCATCTTAAAAATAGTATTCCACGCGTTCTAGAAATGACGCAAATCACTTAATTTTTGAACCTTTTTTTTATGTATCTTTGATGTTTGTAACGAATAATCAAAATTTAGTGGACGGTTTGAAAATAATGAAATTGAGAGAATTTTTTCATTTATTAGTATGTGTACGGCTCTCGATTCACAGTCAAAGTCATTCTGCAAACTTTGTTGGCATTCTGAAGGGCTTGAGCATGATGCCCGTAAAAGCATTTATGCAAACAATCATTTTACATACTCATAAAATTAGTTTAATATAATTCATATGCACCTAGGGTTTGTATCAAAAATCGATTAGAATTGATTTTTTTCACTACTCGATAAATAACCAATCATATGTATATTTTGTTAATATATAATATAAATGCTAAACGTATCATAAATGTAGGAGAAAATCAGTAACGTTGAAAAACTTGTGCATTTATATTTAGTTTTCAATTCGAAATCAATGTGCTTCAGTGCGAAATAAAGATGATGAGAGTCGAGGAATTGAAGCGAAACGAAAGAGTCAAAAAATGCGTGTAGAGCCCTGAGAAAAGCAGCGGCGAGGAGTTGAGGAATAGATATATAAGATAAAAAAAGCCTTTGTTAGTGTCAGACAGCGCAATTTCGGACCAACGAGAAAAGTTTTCACATTTTTTTTTGTTTTTTTCTACAACATTTTTAAAATCAAGATTGTGCATTATTTTCCCGGTAAACATGGGTCACTTATAGTTAACAAGCAACTATTTTTTCAAGAATGTTCTACGGCAACCAATTTGTTTCAAACTCAATTTTAACCCATACGTACTGTTTGCTTTATTTTTCTTTCGCACTTTTTTGTTATTCCTTTGAGAATTCGTTCAATGTAAACACCCATACATATCGAAGAACGCGAATTCCGTCAAAATCCGTTTTCTTCTTTACACATATTGTGGAGACATGGTTTAAAAAGTTATTTTTACAGCATTTTTATATATGGATTTTGTAAAAGTAGAAAGCATTTTCGACGAAAAATTTCGCTTTGTAATTCACCAGATGTTTTTCGCTAGCACGAATTCTTTGTTCTTCAGCCTCTCACCTGCATCACATTTCTTCGTTTTAAAAATTGTCTTTGATTCCACAGGTGTTCCGATTTGCTTGACGTGACGTTAGTGGATGTCATTAAATGGGATTACAGGAGAAAAAATCTGGGTAAAGATAAAGAATGACATCAAACACAATACTCTCATTCCATTAGGGTAATTCCCATTAGAAAAAAAAACAAACACACACACACACACAAGCATAAACAGAATGTGAAGAGCTATAAATGGAATAATTGTGCATGCCGTATAGTGGTTTAAGTGGGCTCGACTAAAATAATTCATTAATGTTTTTTGAGTAGCCGGAAAAGTTTGGATGTGCAACATCTGAGTCATTTTTTGCGAATTTTCAATATTTTTTAACACTGTTCAAAACTTTTCACTAACAACTTTTCACCTTATTTGTTGATGATTTCCAAACATTTTTTTCCTCGTATTTTCGAGAAATGAAATTTCACTTCTCTCTTTCCGCAATGTTTTGTAATCTTGTGCAAATCTCACTGTTGCGTTTTCATCCCGCCACATTGACGTATAACACATACTGCTTGATCCGCGGTCAACAGCTGTGAGCGCTCGTTTCAATCAAAATGTTTTTGTTCCATTCTTTCGATTTTAGAATTTTTTCGCGTCACTCATTTTATTGAATGCGATTTCTACCACTTTTTTCTTCATCCGTTTCCTCCGGCTTCAATTTCGCAAAAACGTTGTCTGCACTTGACAATTTTCGAAACGCAACTAGTAGATCCCGAATATTTAGTGAGGACAACTTGGAAATGTGAGAAAACGCATTTTCCGCAAAATTTTCCAGTTCATTTCACATTCTGAAAAAGAAGTATTTTTTCGTTTCCGACAGCAATTCCTAAATGGCACTTGATTGGAAATGGGAATGATTCGGTAGATGATAAATATGCAAACGTTTATTATCATGTTTTCCATTTGGTGCCACATATAATTTCCACCTGATTATTATCCCAGAGAATACAAATACAATACAACATTTAAAAAAAATGAAAAGGTGGGTGCACTATGAACTCCCAATGGCATATCTCAATTATTCAATTGTTTCGTACCGTGAAGTTTGCTAGAATATTTCCTCGCAGAAATGAAATTCATTTTTAAAAAATTAATAGCATTTCTAAAAAATGTGATTTGGCAAAATCCAATGAAAATGATTTCTGTTTTCTTCCAGAAATCTTTACAAAATTTAATTTTCTTGAAAGGCTTTTGTTGAATCTCTTTTGATTGTTTCTCGCTTTTTAATCCACAAAATGTGAGAATTTCGACATCTATAATATTTTTTTTGGAGCTGTAAATTATGATACTTCATATGCATGTTTTGGATTTTTTTTCAACGTGCCTTATTTGGATGTTTTTCCACAAATTAGGCCGCCTAAAATTTGATTTCTTGGCGTTTTTCAAATCGCTATTTTTTTCTCAATGCCATTTTTAATAGGCATCTTGTCAAGCGGATTTCTCTCCCGGAAGCACTTTTCTTCATTATGGTAATGTAGAACCCATTAGCCTCATTTTGCTCAATGCCTTCAACTTTTGGAGGTTGCAGTCAATTAGTATTGGCCGTTTTGCTCATGCATTTATGAGCCACGCAAACCCACATACACTCACAGGCATTTTCCGTTCATTTCTCTATTTTGTGTGGCGTCACCCGTTGCCCTGGGTGGTGTGTATGCCATCAGTCAAAAATTTCGCCAAAGAAGCCGCGAGAAAGTCTTTTGAATAAGCTGTGAAGCGTTAAAAATTGAAAGGAAAACGAAAATAAGCTATTTTTTCCTCCTTTTTCCTCATCTTCAATATCGTGGATGAAATCCCATAATTTTGATTTTTATCAGAAGAAATTAATTCAAGGATTTTTCAGATTAGGTTATTTTCTCTGTATGTGCGACTCTGCGTAATCTCTTTTTGTGGTGTGGATTAGTGTGTCCTTCTGTTAAAAATCTCCAAGTCATCTCTCAAAAAAAAAGAATCGGCATTATATTTCCGTCAAACTCTTTTAGTCATATTTGTGT